GGATTTATTTGAAATGACTCCAGAAGCCAGCCACCGCTTCTTCCTGCCAGTTATTTTGAGGAAATGTTCGTTCACTCGTTTACAAAATTCAAAAAGGAATCAACTCGGAACTAATAAGAGAACTGCATTCCCAGAACACATTGAAACCAACAAGTTACACGGAGTCGCTTAGTGTTTACTACGGACGCGAGAGCTATTCTGAAATTTCGCTTTCCGATTTTCAATTAGATGAGACATTCCTTTCTCAATTTCATTTTCATGTTTGAATCATAATAATAATAATTAAAAAAAAACACCCTATTTGCCGTGGTATATGTTGTAGTAGGGTAAAGCGCTGGATATTCTGTTTTCATCATCCAGCTTTTGGTACTGGGGTAGAAAACAGCACACCCTCACTTCGACACCTCAGGGCCAAAACTGTTTGTTAGCATGAAAACGCATGCCATGCTTTAAAGCTCTGGTAAAATGTCCAATAAACACAACGCGTTACCCAAACAGCGCACGAAGCTAGCTGACGAGTCGAGGGATCCAAGATCTGTGCGGCCTGTCCCAGCCTGTCCTACCCGTGACGACACAAACGATGATGAGGCTAGCTAGAGAAGCGCCCCCTGTAGTTCGCGCGCCGCCAATACAACAGAAATGTCGAAAATACGGATTAGTCTTGTGCGAATAGTGGAAGCGAAGGGTGGTTTTGGCCGAATATTTTCGATTCGAATATCGAATAGTTTTTCCGCGCCTTTCACTACACTTGCATAATGCTTAGACGAAAACCCAGCTAAACTAGTGAAGGTTGTTCCACTTGTTCATTTATAAGCTAAGTTTAATCTATCTATATTTATGAACTGTGACCTCAGAAGGTCTGTTGTCTTGGGATGGCAAGTAAACGACGGATTTTACATAAAATGAGTCCTGTAAAGATGGCCACCTATACCCAATGGAGTGAATTTACAAATCTTGCTATATAAAATGTTCTTTCTTTATTCTCGAGTTAAAAAAAGAATGAATTGTGCATGATGAACGCAGGTTGTAAGGGCATCCTGCCTAACGTATACTCTTGCATAACAGTTTAATTTTGAAACTTTTACTACAATGTAGATATAGACATTCACAAAGTTTTAATTTATTTTCAAATACAGTCGGCACAGGTGCACCATCCCGCTTCGAATGTATGCTTTACTTCCAAGCAGGCAATTACGTTATTCATATTTTTCGAAGTGTTTATTGCGGCGAGTTACCCCGTTGAGTGTGCTTCTTACCGAGCACCAATGTAATGCAGAGAAGCAACACCCGCAGAGCTCGCTTCTGCGGGTATTGCTTCTCCGCAGTGCACCGGTGCTTGGTAAGAAGCGCACTCAACGGGGCTAACCCGCCGCAATGAACACTTCGAAAAACGCGAATAGTGCAGTTCTTCTCAATGCGAATATCGAATAGTGTGTTATTCGGAACTATTATTCGAAATTTTGAATAATCGCACAACCGTAATGCACATGTACAAAAAAAAAAAAAATCTTTGATTGATTATGTTTGTGGCCGGTCCGGAGGCAATTCTGTCATCATATCCCGCCAGAAATCACATCTAAGACGTTTTCTTTTTTTTCAAGAATTGTTTCAGCTTCCTTTAAAGAAGCTTGTTCCAGAGAGTATCTGTGTGCTCTGCTTTAATGACAGGTAAGTTTTCGTGTATTTCTGATATAATGTATGTTATAACCGAAGTTGCGTTTCGTTGGAATAACAGATTGACATTCAGTTTTACGTTTTAGAAAGTATGCGCCCGCTTACCTCAAGATGAAAGATTTCAGAATTTTCACTCTTTTGCCGTAATGGGAAGGTGTCGCGAAGTTATGCTGGCGCGCGTGCTCAGTCTAGCTTTACTTAATGTTTTTACCTTCTCCGAGGATTCGTTCACGACTCGTGACTTCTACCGGAGTTGAGGGAAAGGGGGGGGGGGGGGGCGGGGCAAATGGAGCGAACGTGAACGCTGTAATGGTACACTTAGAATCACGCGTCGGAGATGTTTTGTCTTGTGCATGTCTGCTTTCGGGATATCCACTTCGGAGGTGGTTTTTCTCTCTCTATAACTTCTCTGTCTACGAATGTGCTTTGTATTGTTTATGACCGCTGTTGTGAGCTTCGTTCGTAGTGTGCTCTGTCTTGTGCATGCGCATGTTTTTGAAGTGTTTATATTTGCTTTGGGCTCCGAACCTTTTGATTGGCTCTAATAAAGCCGTTTGGGACTGGTTGCCAAAGTGGTCCCAGAATGCTGCCAAACTCAAAATAAGCAGCAGCCAAATGCCCGCAAAGGACTTGGCTCTTGGATACCAAGCCCTGAAAACCACCCTGCCTCTGATGGCCGACCTGCACGTCCGACCTCCTTCGGCTGTGGAGTCTTCCGCCCGCTAACTCGCAAACTTGGGACCCCTTACGGCTGTGGAGGAGTTCGGTTCGCACGACGTTGTGTAGATCCATGTGTGTCGAGTTTGGCTGTGGTCGAGGACGACGGCAGGGGGAGTAGCCAGAGATAGGAGTATTTCTCTCCCAACATTAAGGCTAGGCCACATGGCGCGTTTTTCAGTGCGCCTAGACGCGCGTCTCGGCTTGGCGCGCGCGCTACGCAGGACGCGTGCGCCCAGTCAAACCACACGCAGCGCTACCGTGCAGCGCTTCGGGCGCTTCGCGTCTGCGTTTCCGAAGCGTCTGCCCAACGTAGCCAGACGTGCTTAAGAAACAAAAGCAAATATTAAATAGAAATCGCGCAGTAAATGATGGCTACATGCCGTAATATTTAATTTTAATAATAGTAAGCACTCATTTTTATTACAGCAATCGCAATGAAGCTCAATTTCACTAATTGTCATCCTTTTTAGTGCGTACGCCTCATACACGTTTCGATACGCCATTGGCATCACCATCTCCCGCGCGAAAACATTCACAGCTGGCCGGCTGGCCTGGCTGGCCGCTGGCCGCTACAGAGGTTGCGTTGTCGCGGTTGTTGCCGGTAGTATTAATTTTGTACCTTTGTCTCTCGGTGTCCTTGTATTCTTTACATTTCGCCTGCCAGAGTGCAGGACGCTTTTGTACTTCGCTAGGTCCTCTCTGTTCCGCTGAAGGAGCGTCAGCCTCTCCCGCGGAGCAGGGAGGATTCCCTGGCCTTGTGTAAAAGGTATGGTAAACTGATATCCGCAAGGGGAAGGACGTAACTACCCATGTTCGTCCCGCTGCGAGCGTTGGCGGGGCCTAGAAGCCGTTTTTATTGAAGGCCGCGAGCGCGCAAATTTTGTAAACTCCGCACGCGCGGGTGTGCGTGTGTGCGTGCGCGCGTGCGCTCTGTCTTGGAATGGCAGAGGGCTGTTACCCGTTTTTGTGAGTGTATCTTTCTGTTTTGAGTGTTTTTATTTACTTTCCTCTCCCGTACCCCTTCCCTACTTGGCGGCGGGCTAGCAGGCGCACCTGCGTAAGGGTCTCAACCTTTCTGCCTAGCCTAGCGCGCTGCCGAGTGTGTATCGCAATATGTGCAAATAAAAATTATTATTATTATTATTATCGCCTTTGTCGCGAGGTCCGTGGCGAAAACTACAGTCCTACAGTGGCGAAAACAGTGGAGAAAATGCAAACGCTTCTTGCAACTAGTGAACACGGCGGTTCATTGGTTGTTGCCTTCTGGGCGCAGCGCGAGACGCGACGCCTGGACGCAAAATATCTGGCTCCTCCAGATACGCCGGAATGCGCCAAAAAACGCTGCGTTTCGTCCCGGCGCCGGAAGTTACGTCAAAGCGCAGGCGCAGACGCGACGCAGACGCGGAGAAAAACGCGCCATGTGGGCTAGCCTTTAATCGACAAGTTGTCCATGTCAGTCGCAAAAAAGAGGATCTCTCTATATTTCTTAAACAGTTGTTTGTTAATAACAGTATCTTCATCAACAGAGAAAAGAAAACCTATTTTCTCCGCGACAATATCTGCCGCCAACATCGTGCCTTTTGTATGATATATGCGCAGTGCGACTGGGGTCTTAATGGTGGATCTTCCAGCGTCACTAAAAGAGGCCACTGTGGGGCACATGTTGCACACGACCGCGGCGTCAGCGTTTGGCTGTTCTCAATTCTTGAACACGACTTGCCAGCCAAACGCTAAGGCTGCACTCGTGTCCAATCCGTGCCATGCGGTGGCCTCGTTTAGTGACGCAGGAAAGTCTAGCGCTTAAGCCTTCTTATCGATACCTGTTTCATTCTCTATTCTTCCAATGCGGAGCGCAAGTTCGTCCGCTTCTTGCACAAGGGTTTGACTGATGCCAGAACTCCGAGCTCTCATTGGCGGATGAAAAAAATAGAGGGTACACCTCAATGCCCATAGCACTGAGGTCTGCCCACTGTCCTTTCAATCAAGCCAATCAGAGCTCGGCGTCGTTCTGACGTCCAGTGGCGTAGCAATGGAGTGGTCTGCACCCCGGGTAGAAGGCGTCCCAATCACGTTGGGGGGGGGGGGGGGGGGGGGGGGGCACCTCTGACGGTGACCACCGCTTCCCTCCCTCCCTCCCCCCCCCCCCCCCACACTTAACTACAGTCGGTGACAACTCAAGAAGGTTGGACAAGGGAAAGAAATGGTGAGAGAGGAGAAAAGGGACGCTTCCTCCTCTCCCACCTTCCTTAAATTTCCTTGGGGAGTTAAGGGAAAAGCGGGGGGTGCTACTAAAGACCTAAGGGCCCCGGGTGCCGGATGGCGTAGCTACGCCACTGCTGACGTCACTGCAACTCCTACGCGAGAAGCAGACTACTTGCTCTGCGCATACAGTGGACCTTATGATATCAGCAAGGGGCGATTCACACAGTTGCGTCGGGTCGGACCGAGCGCACCTACAACGGCTTGCGACGTGTGGGTTGCTATGGCAACAGCTGCGTCGGCTCCAACTAAACGGTTTTCACCCCGTCGCAAGCCGTTGCAGTAGCGTTCGGTAGGACTCGACGCAACTGCGTGAATCGGCCGTTAGTCACGGTCGCGTGCCTTACCTGTGGGAATAGTAGAACAGCACCTCCTCGACCAGCGCAAACAGCGCAAATTCAAGCAGGATCCGGCTCATGGGCGGTATGCTGAGGTTGCTGTCGAAACCACGGAGCGTCTTGAGCCAGTAGCAGGCCACCATCCCGGGTAACTGGACGAAGGTTTGGTTGAAGAGCACCTGTGCTACGACGGGCCTCAGCGTTTGCAGCCTGACCTGCGTGTAGGAGTCGACGAGGGGATGAAATTTGAAACCGACGTACGATTTGGGATTTCCGCGAGGAAGATCATCGTCGTTGCGATCTCCTCTCCCAAAAAGCGGCAAGGCACTAGCTGCCAACAAGTCCAATCAAAACCCTTTTTATAGTTCGTTTCACCGTAAGTCTGGACGCAGGCGACTCTGCGATGCTGGTGGAATCAATCAAACAGTGCCAAAAGCGTAACAGCATGGTGTTCGTCATGGTCGCGTCGCAAACTCAGCCCTACGGCTTCGTTATCTAGGACAAGGCGTTGGATCGAAGAGTAGCATCTTCTTCCTTTATCTTTCGCTTTCTTTCTCTCCCTTTGATTTTCAGCAAGCTTCGGCTTCGTCTCTTATTAATTTTCAGCAAGCTTCGGCTTCGTCTCTTATTAATTTTCAGTAGTTTTCAAGTTGTTAAATAAATTCTCTGCAGCTGCCAGGGGCCAGTGCCCCTGGCAGCTGCTTATATTGGGTCCGACCCCGTTCGACTGTGGAGTCATCCGTCCGCTAGCTCGCAAACTTGGGACCCCTTGAGTGGATCCTTGCTTGTCGAGTCCGGCTGTTGTCGGGGCTCCCGCTGAAGGTGCGGTCGAGGAGGGCGGCAGGGAAAGTCGCGAGATGTCAGGAGTATTTCTCTTCACAATTGTTAAATTGTCCATCGCATTAAAAAAGAATGCATCTCATATTCGTTAAATAAAGAGTTATTTTTAAACCGACTTGTTCCGTAAAGTCTTCGTGACAGCAGAATGAATTGATCGCTTGGACAGCAAGGTTCCGCGAGACGCGACATGGCGTTGCGCTTGGCCTCTGACCTTTCCCGCTAAACTTAGCGAAACTGAGTTGGCGCAAAGTTATGCGCCAATACAGCTGGTGCATAGTTATGTAAATTTATACACCAATTCTATAAAAAAAAAAAGAAGAAAAAAAAGCTGCACTCTGTTTTTACTCGGGACGGGCAATGGGCTGAAAAATGATTCCATAAAAATCTTAACGCGAGGTAAAGAAACCCAGAAAACGAGAAGTAGAAAAAACGCGAGGGCAAACAAACCTGATTTTTCGTCCCGGCATTCTCTTGCACCCTGAACCTGGCCATCCAGGCTGGTCTTCCGCTGAGGTCGACCAGGAGGAAAAGTAGTCCCATCGCCCAGTAGGTCACCACCGACAGACTCCATTGAACTGCGGAACCGCGGGTTGCGATTTTGCAGTTTCCAGCAGTTCACTTCGGCCATCAGCGGTGCATGAGGGGATGGACAATAATGGCGGAACACTTTGCATCGGGCGGTGCACCTTGCTAGTGTTTTAAATGTCAACAGTTAAACTATGGTAACCTGAAAGGCGCTAGAGGATGGCGATGGAAAGTGGAATGTTGGCAGGCGGCATCTATTGGCGACGTGCGCGATCGAAAGCGTCGCTGTGGTCGGCCTTCCGGGATTGGCCAAATGCTGACTATGACGTAGGCAAAGGTTTTCTCATCGACGGAAATAAGAGGAATGTAAGAACTTTAATTTGGACGGTGTTGGCAGTGTTGCTTTGAGAGCGCAATCATATTGAGCGTCCGCCATGCTAATTACAAATACCGTTGAACTTGTTGTTCGGAAGGTAATGACGTCACGAGAGGAAACCATAGGAGGACGCCACCAAAACATCTCGCCGCTAATAGCATCCAAAATGTACCACATCTCGCGTGCATATCGACCAACGCATTATAAATAGGCTTCCCCGTGTTTTCAGTATATACCGATAAACACCGAAAATGAACCTCCGATGCGGTTTTCTTTGAATCGGTGCAAACCAAAAATACCCAAATTTAAACTGTACGAAAAAACGGCAGTTTGTAAAAAAAAGAATTACACAACTTTTTTTTTTTTTTCTCGTTGACCCTAAACACAGTTGCATTGAACTGTCCTTAGGGTGTTTCCTTCCTATCGAAACCATTTTCCTGCCCCGTTTTTTTCTCTTATCTTTACCAGCCTTACTGGAGAAAATATTATAATTATAAGTTATTAATTATAACATATTCTCCAGTAATTATACAGTCGCTTTACAACAGAAGCTCGACAAAAACGGATTTCTCTCTGGCATCAAAATTAGACATCGAAAAACACCGATTAAGAGGGGGAAGGGAATAAACACCGATATGATAACACTCGAACTTGAAGAAAAATAAATACCAAAAACACGGTACCTTAATAATGAACAAGCCCGCGCTTGCCCACACCGGGTGATGGGCATTGCGGGTGCGCACAAACCAGATTCACATGAGGCGAAGCATATCTGCGCATGCGCAGTGCCGACAGCAGCGCCACCTTAGAGGCGTGTGCCTCATGTTCGCGCCTGTGCGCACCACAGTACTAAGCAGAACTCGAAATAAGTTACAAAAAAAAAAAAAAACTTTCAGTCTTTCCACCCTGGTGAAGAAAGAAGATCAGCGAAGCTGTACTCTGGTCACACGACCTCGAGTACGACCTAAAGGACGACGCCTAAGGACGACGTCTAGGACAATCTCAAGGACGACTTCTAAGACCAAATTTCGAAGACAACGTCCAGGGCGACCTCAAGGACCACCTCCAAAATAACTTCTAGGACGACCTCGAGGACGACATCTAGGACGACGCCTAGAGAAATTCAGCTTTTCCACTCTGGTGAAAACCAAGGCTGGAAAGGAAAGGTTGTCGCCATCTATGAGCAAGGTCGGCAAGCCGATTTTGTCTGGTTGCCGCCGTCGCTCATAGATGGCGGTAGCTGTCCAGAGTTTTGTGTCAACATTTTTTTGCGGGGGACACGATCCTGGGAAAACTAACCCTTAAAGGGACACTGACACCCCCCAAAATTTTTTTTTAATTTTTTGCCAGGCGTTTCATTATGGTGTCGGAGGACTACCCAATTAATATTTTGCAACAGAGTAGAGTATTTTTTTAATAAAGCCAAAAGACGCAACTGCTCAAAACCGAAACCGAAACCCGACGGAGGTCGGAGAAGTGGAGAGAAGAGAGTGAGTGGCGGAAGTCACGTGGCTACACCCGACCGTGCGTTTTTTTTTTTTTTTCTTTTTTTTCTCCTTCCCGTAGCAGACGACATGCGGCGTACCGGAACTGTTCACCGAGCGATTCTTTTGCAGTTATGTATGTTCCGCTCGTTGTGCTGTACTCCAAGATGAGTTGTTTTGTACATTGAGGAGTTGGAGATGAGTAGTGAGTGCCCGTGGTGAATTTTGATCGGCTCCGAAAAGAATACACCCAAGATGTTGCGTGAAGACCTGGCTCACATGCCCTGCGTCCGAAACAGAAGTGGCATTGTGCGACAGAGTTTCCGAAAGATCAAAGGGATAGGGACCAATGGCTGGCTGCAATTCCTGTAGACCATTTACGGGCACCTCGGAAAGCGGACGCTACCTGATTTATATGCTCCTTGCATTTTATGGAAAGTGATTACATTGAGTTCGCAGGTGTCAAAAAAAAAAAAAAAAATCCCGTACCATTTAATTCAGCGAAGTGTCGTCCACAACATTTGTTCCTTATTTTTTGTTTCTTCATTGATAATTGTTAAAAAAGAAAAAGAAATGTAGACATCAAAAAATATTTAAAAAAAATAAAAAAAAATAAAAGTGAAAGCCGTTTACAAATCTCTGTAACGCCGAATTGGAGCGCAGCTCTTGAGGAGGAGGAGTGAAGGGTACTAAGGGTAGACCCCTCCCCCTTCTCCTCCTCCTCCCCTCATTCTTTAGTATGCTCCGGGGGGGGGGGGGGGGGGTCACGTGACCTCGGGGGGGGGGTGTCACGTGACTTCGGGGAGGGGGTCACGTGACCTCGGGGAGGCGTGACCTGGGGGTCACCTCAAGGTCACGTGACCCCCAAGGTGACCCCACGTGACCTGGAGGGGTCACGTGACCTGGGGGGGGTCACGTGACCTCAGAGGGGTCACGTGACCTGGGGGGTCACGTGGGGGTCACCTTGGGGTCACGTGACCTTGAGATGACCTTGGAAGGGGTCACGTGACCTTGGGGAGGAGACCACGTGACCTCGGGGGTCACGTGACCTCAGAGGGGTCACGTGACCTTCAAAGGGTCACGTGGGGTCATCTTGGGGTCACGTGACCTTGGGGGTCACGTGATCCCAAGATGACCCCACGTGACCCCCAAGGTCACGTGACCTTAGGGGTCACGTGACCTTCAGGGGGTCACGCGGGGTCACGTGACCTTGAGATGACCTTGGGAGGTGTCACGTGACCTTGGGAGGGGTCACGTGACCTTGGGGGTCACGTGACCTTGGGATGACCTTGGTTACGCCGACGCCGACGCCGACGGCGACGCCGCTCAAGCCGGGAACGGGCCCCTAAGAGCTGCGCTCTAAAAAAAACAGGTTTCACGGGGGATTGAACCCGGTCCTACCGCGTGTGAAGCGGACGTCTTACCCACTGAGCTACTGGGGTATACCAACCCGGGTAATCTCTTTCCTTAGTAATAATTCAGCCGATAAACTAAGTTGGAAAGTTTGCTGCCAATTTTCCTCTAGCAAAAGCACTCCCGGGTCGAAGTCGGGATGCACCGCGCATTGGCGATATTCTCACGTAGTAAAGAAATCGTACGCGTGCATACTCAACTCGAAGTAGACACGTCGTGCTTGACGTTTGCGCGAGCGATGTCTTCAGCCACGAGAAGGGAGCGACGGCTCGGCGACGTCTTCGTGCAAATCGGCTTGGTGATCGGGCGTGTCGTACGGGATGAATACCAGTTTTTTTGATCAGTCCCAAATTTCTCTTTTAAAGGCAGACAAAATTCGCCGGTACCGCGAACGACAGTTCTGAAATAGAGGTCCCACGCCCGTCGTCTGCTGCCATCGCCGTCCCCGCGAGTCCCACGATACGCGAAACGACGCACGCACAGATTGCTTCCGGTTGTCTGTGGAACTTTTTTTTTTCAATCAACGTATTTACAGCTTTTTAGAAGCCACAAAAAATGGGTTTCATATTTTTTCTATTTTTAATATCGAGTGTGTGCCTTCAGTGACCCACGACTTTGATTAAATTTGGTGGTCGCATCGATACCTTAGAAAACGGCCCGTGACCGCGGAAAAGAGAGTGAGCGAGACTCGAACCGGCCAGTTCTTGATCGGCGGTTTTCGGGCGGAAAGAAACCGAATTTCGAGCCGCAAATTCTGTTCTGGGTAGTTGAGCTCTCATATGTCACGTACAACTAAAAACCTCGGCGAGCATAAATACCCTGTCAGTGTCCCTTTAACAGCTCCGCTGTAAAAACCTAGCAAAATACGAGATTTTTTTTTTCTAGTCGCATGAACGAAGTTTTAATTTTAAATAGTAGTACTGCGTGTTTGTACAAATCATACGCCCGAAGTAGTTATTTATTTATTCGAGTTGGACAGTTCACTTTAGCTTCTGTATACGGTGGTACTAAAGATAAAATGAAACAAGCTGGAGATGTCCCGCTTCAGACACCACAAACATAAAAAAAATCTTTTTTCTTTTTTCTTTTTTTGTGGGGAGACATACAATTTGAAAGCGCGATAAATGACCTGTCAGGTCGAAGATGCGCGCAACCTCGAAGGAAGCCTTCGTCTGACCTTCTTGTCCCCGACGACGCGACACGGACAGATTAGTGTCGTCGAAGTCATACGGGGCTAAATATAGCGCAGAGGGCCACGTGCTGTCAACAACCTTGTCTCTCCGCGGTTCACTTTTATTTGTTTGTTTAATATACCTCAAAGCGCCCTTTTGGGAATTTTTTTTTTTTTTTTTGGGGGGGGGGGGGGGGGGGGGGGGAGTTACAAAGGTAGAGACAATTCATTACAGAATAAGACTTATGATACATAAGTTATAGCATATCAACAAAGGTATATTACGATTAATTCACATGACGATTTGAAATTTGCTCTATCTGCAATTTCAATTATACACTGAGGCAGGGATGGGCAGTATTTCAAATACAAGTATTTGCAATACGTATTTCAAATACTTTGTGTATTTTGCATTTGTATTTAATTACAAATTGGGTAATGTATTTGACGTGTGTATTTAAATACTAAAACGTTTGTATTTCAAATACAATTGTAATTAAATACAATTTTATGGTCGAAAATACATCCCTCAAAACTACGTTCTGCACCGAATGCAGTGTCTCTCAATCAAGCACAAGCGCTTAGTGACTTTGTGATTACGGTGCTAGTCCAGAGCAAGAATAGTGACGAAATCGACGTTCACAGGCAGACTGGCTAAATAAGTGCCTGTGACAACTTGTGATGCTTTCCAGCCTTATTTTCATCCAGATTTTTACCTAGAACATTCTAAATGCGCGGGTCGTCCAGATTTTCGTAACTGGTGCGAGTTGCAACAATAAAAAATTCTCTACCTAGTGCTGCGCGTCTTGGTCGCCTCGGTTCTTTGTTGGTCCATACCAAAATGTAATCGACAAAAAAAAAAGATGCTTGAAGCTTGGTACTTTTTTCACCTATTACGTCCAAGGTGATTACATTTTTTTGTGACTATATTTCTATTACGTTACTAGAGCCTCGCACACTAACCCCCGAGAGTGCGATGCAAAATTAAAATGAGATACCCAGAAACCCGTTGCAGGTGCCCTGAAGTCGCTGACGCAGATTTTGAGGAACGTATTTGGAAAAGTATTTGGAGGAGACCAAACACATTTGGTTGTATGTGTATCTTGTACTTAAATGCTTTTTTTGGAAATGTAATTAGATTTGTAGTTAAATACATTTTCGACGAAGTATTTTGTATTTGTATTTTGATACATATTTGCATGTATCATGCCCATCCCTGCACTGAGGTAAAGAGTTCCATTCTGAAGTGGCAAGCTGTAAGGGAGAGTGGCGAAATCGCTTAGTTCTACAATGAGGTAAGCGAAGTTTGTGAGCTTGATCATGTCGATCAAAAATGCGATGGGCTGTGGATGTAATAAACGTTCTTCGAGAGAAACAGTAATGCATGTCGTGAAGGAGCGTGAGGCGGGAGACCCTACGCCTGGTTTCTAATAGAGGTAAATGTGTTCTTTGTTTCTATGCCGAAACGTTCGTGTAAGGTAAAGAGTCATGGAAAATGAAGCGCACCCATTTGTGTTGAATGCTCTCTAATTTAGTTTTCAGATAATCCTGATGAGGAGCCGATATGATGCTAGCGTACTCCAGTTGCGACCTGACAAAAGACTTAAAAGCTAGCAGACAAGTTTCAGAAGATTCTAAAAACAGTTTGCGTCTAATAAATCTCAAGGAACGACTTGCCTTGCCAAAAACATAGTTAACACGATCCTGGCAAGAAAAAGTATCAGAAATAAAAACACTCAGGTACTTATATTTATTTGCTTCACTTAAGCCACCAGCTCCGAGGCAAAGTACTAAACTTCCTTCCGGCAAAAAAAAAATAATAATATTTATTCCACTTTCATCTTTTTTTCGATATTTTCGGGCCCGTCAAAGCCAAAGTAGGCTTGTGGGACGTGGCCCGGAAGAGGTAGTAAGCGATTATATACATCTAGTTAACAAACACCGATAAACAGTCATAGTTGTCCGGGGTGGGGGAGGGGAGGCGGCGGGTAGTCAGTCACTTTGTACATGGCACGAATAGAGATAGTAAATCACAGTAGACCGGTAGAAACATTATAGACATATATACAGGTACATGTAGAGACACACACAAAGCACACATATAGATATATACATGCCACTAACAGGGATAGTCAATCACAGTGAACCGGTAGAAACACTATAGAAATATATACAGGTACAATAAAAAGGTTCCGACAAAGTTGTAAAAAAAAAAGAGAAAAAGGTAAGGAAACATTAACGAGTACTTAAGGTAGAGTCCAATCAATTAGGAATTTTTTTAGTTGCTTTTTTGAGGTAAGCGTAAAGATGTCATCAGGAAGCGAATTAAATATTTTCGGGACATAAATATCACGAGTAGCTTGTCCGTAGCGAGTATAAGAACGAGGTACAACATAGCGAGGACTATCTCTTAGAACTCGGCAGGACATATAAGTCTTTTTGAAATCATCCATTCAAAAGTGGCGCAAAATTACTGAGTTCACGAACAACTTTTGGAAGGAAGGTAAACCAAGATACTCCAAGATACTTCCGCATTCTGTCAAATCACAGTCATACGCCACGCTCTTCAGTAAGTTCCGCAGAATATTATCGATGCGTATTTGCCATCTTATGGAGCAATTGGAAAGAATGGGGATTCCATATCGTAAAACGCCGTATGCAAGACTGCTGGCAATAGCTCTGCGCACACCGATCGGTGTGCGCAGAGCTATTGTAATAATAATAATATTTATTAGGCAGGAATTCAGAAACACAGTACAAATACGGGTCTGTCCAAGCCATAATGGACTTAATAATAATAATAATAATAATAATTTATGTTTTCGGATGCGACGAAGTATGATGCGGGTCTGCCGAAGCCAGAAGTGGCTTGTGTGGCTAAACCACCAGTATTAAAGTTATAAATCAAATAATTTCAACATTGTGAAGAGTGCATCAGCACATAAAACACACACACACACACACACACACACACACACAGACATACACACACACACACACACGCGCGTTTTAAGAAAAATAACATTGAAGCATTTGTAAATTTAGTGTCCAGAGTTATTACATGAAAAACACACACACATACATCAAAATATTAAAAAAAGAATGGAGCACAAGTCATGTCAAGTTGCCACAGTACTTGGGTTGTAATAAAGATCACATCACTGGTTTAAGAAAAAAAAAAATTTTAGAGCACAGTCTAAGACGCCCAGAAATGAATCTGGTTCGTGCAGGCACACTTGATTTAAAATAGGTCTCGTAGGGTTTGTTCCAACTTTTTTTTCGAATCCAGGTCCAACACTCTTTCAGGGAGACTGTTGAAAATGCCCGGTACATAAAATATTCGTTGTCTTCTGCCATACCTCGTTGACATTCTCGGCACCTCAAAACGAGTGGTATGTCTGAGTGCCCGAGGTGCAATGTGGGGAACTTTAAATCTGTCATCCCAAAAGTGTCTTAAAACAACCGTCTCAGTAAACAAAGCATGACATAATGGAAGATTAATATGATCAATTTTTTCTTGTTCTGTTTCGGTATCAGTGCCGTATGTAATACTTCTAAACATTCCAGTTAAAATACTGTCAATTTTCTTTTGCCATAACGTAGAACAGCCACCATAAATGGTTATTCCATAGCGAAGAACACTGTATGCCAAAGCATTAATGACCATCTTTTTAACATATTGTGGAACAAGTGATCTCATATTATAAAGTAGACAGGAAACACGTCTAAGCTTTTTACATACAGTTCCCATGTGCGCATTCCATGAAAGGTCACTATCGAATTCAATACCTAAATATTTCACATGGTCCACATAGCCCACTGGAGTGCATTTACACGAGGGACAAATTGATGAATGTAAAAATAGTGACGTATCTGGGATAACAACTTTTAAGGGATTCCGGAAACACAGCAGACGTGTCTTTGTGTTGTTAATTTTTACGTCATTTTGCCGAAACCATTCAATCAAATGTGTGGTTTCACGTTGGAGAAGAAAAATTGATTTTTCGTATTCTATATGGCGTGACAAAAGTACAGTATCGTCAGCATACTGTACTTTTGTATTATTATTATTATATTTTTGTTTGTATTATATTTGTATAATAATAATAATAATAATAATAATAATAATAATAATAATAGTTTTATAATAATAATAATAATTTTAAAAAAAACGCGTGCACGCCGAAAAGCGGGAACACACGTATTCGTGAGGATTGACCTGTATTCGAATTCGGGTACATTCCTCAAATTTGGTTCGGTGAAATTAAGATCGTTCAAGGATCACCCGCCCGCGTCTTTGGTTTTCCTAGTAAAAAATATTTTACAAGGAAAACCAAAAAGACACGACTTCTGAGGTCGATTAAAAAAAGTTAACCAATTTCTAATAAAAACAAAATTAAAAAAGGCCTATCATTATGTGATGGCGTCATCCTATTATTTCTCTGAGTGAAGTGATAACAGCTATAAGACTGATACAAATATGTGCCTTATAAGTTGATTGAGTTAAATAGTCTGTCAGCGAGAGTAAAACAACTACTCTCTGGCCACTTGACTTTATCCAATATCCACCGCATCCGAAAAAAGCTGCTGCACCCCCCCCCCCCTCTCTCTCTCTTCGCAATTACACGTTAAACAATGCACACCAGTTTAAAAACAAACAGAGACAAAAACACTGTGTAGGGCAACGAAGGCTTGCATTAAAAAGTACTTTATTTTATTTTGAAAGTCTACTGTATTTATAATACTTTACTTCAAGTGCATTGCGCCCAGTGTACTCACTATCTTACTTGAAGTGCATAACCTCTCATTTACTATGTACTTCGTGTATTTTTTAGGTGTACTTTACGCAACACTGTCAAGAGCCAATACCACTCCTCAGCACTTGGCTTGGACGTTTGAGATGACCTTGGTCATTTTGACACTTTAACGCTTAAATTTTCATTTTAATTTCCTCTTACTTTTTTTGTTGTTTATCTTTAAGAATGCAACGTCCGTTGCAGCCGGATTCTTTTCATGCGGAAGCCTTTTATCAAGACGACCAATTCAGCGAACAAAAAGTGTATCACGACGGCTCTCGCAGTGATCTCACGTACCTCCGACGGTGAGATAAAAGTAGTCTCCCCCGAAATGGTGGACCGCTTTCCTGTAACGCCACTCAAGAGCCGTCCGTGTCCTGGCTCCAGCCTCCCGGGCAACCCTGAAACAAAAATTAAAAAGAAATAGATAAAAAAGAAGGAAGACAATAGGAGATCAGTGTAATTCATCTTGACGAGGAACAATTAAAAGCCTTAGAGGTTCGCGTCACTCCTGCGCGAGAAGTATGCGTCACAAGGTCTGGTCTCGCTGATATAGACCACGATTCCGAGCAGCCTCAAGTTGTGGTAGGGATTCGTTCACGATGTGTCTTTGATCAACGTCTATCTTAGCTTAGGAGCCCTTTTTTTATTTGCCTTTCTACTCAACCTTTAACAAGTATTGAAAAACAATTCGCTCGATACAGTCTCGTATGTGGCTCGATAATAACAAGCGTGGTTTCAAAACAAATACAAATCGTTTGCTCAAGGTTACAACTGAGAAAATAAATGGGTTAAACGACTGACAACGTGGAGCGGGATAATTATGACTAAGAACGAACCACAGACACAAAACAGGATGGCAGCGAATTTTGTTTGCTCAAAGTTACAAATGAAAATAATAATAATAATAATAATTGACCGCACCTACAGAACGTGAGCAATTATAAGTAGAGACATTATCACACTACTGAAAGAAAGCGGAAAGGCTTAGAAAAATATTCATTGTGTGAATTACTACGTATAAAACACGCTGTACATTAGCGGTACTGAAACGATGCAGACCCGTCGGAACTTTCCAGTTTCTTTTGTCACCGACTGTAAACGCAAGCGCCCTCTCTGCGTTGCTGTTGCCCCCGGATTTCTGGGAGACACGATGAACAAACGACGCAGGTTGGAGCCGCAACGTTCTGCAAAAACCTCGCGCGAACAAGCCTCGTTCGAAGCTTCTCTTTCTGCAGATATCCCAGCCATGAATCATTCGCGGACAGTGAGAGGCGGCTGGCTCGAACAGCGGGGTGCCACTTTCTCGTCTGCCGTCGAACGGGTGCTCCGCGTAATGTAACATTTGCACGTGTCTTTGTTTCGAGTGTAAACCTTGCTTCCCAGTTTCATTCATTTCCGTTTCACTTTTTCGAACACGTCTCATCACACAGCTTTTGTATGGCCAATGGCGCTCATTGCAATGAAGGAACACGATTCAGACACTAGAGAGTTTTAGGGAACCGTTTGTGCACACCCGATACGGTGCGATGCGCCTTCCGGGACGCACTGCGCATGCGCAGAAGACTCTCATGTGCGCACTCCGTACCGTATCGGTTGTGCAAAAACGGTTCTTTCAAACTCTCTAGTGTGTGGAGACTGTCCTCTGTAGGACGCATTAACAGCGTGGTAACCGCGGCTACCGTAAGCTATACCGGAGTGAACTCCGCGCAGGATTTCAGCATCCCTGCCAGGCTCGCGTGTGTGCACTGCAAGCGTCGTTCGGGTCAACATGCTCGTGCTAGTCACTTATAGGCTTCACGAGGCAACACACAAAGAGTAACGGATTCAGAAGGTTTCCATTTCCAGCATGTATCATTATGTATTTCGAGAAGAAAAAAAGAAAAACACGAATGAAAGATGGTGACGAGGGTCTCAGTAATAAAAATGCATGCTGACGCCAGGGATGATCGAGATAGGTTATAACTTATATCACCGTTTTCTCCACATTTCCGTCATATCGTTCAGTGTTTCTGCCCGACACCACGGAAAAGGAAGACAGCAGGCAGTTATAATGGCGTAGTCTTTGCTCTTTCTCGTTGTTTTTGGTGCGCAGACGACGTTGGTGCTCGTCAAGGATACGGGCTACAAATAGCCGTTCGAGTCGACCCGTGATTGTTTCCGACGCCGCCTTGTGTCCCGCTCTTACGTGATCCTAAACCACGGCCCTTTTACTGGCGGAGAGGCTCCTTGTTAGCCGTGCCAGCCACGTACGCAGAAAGTACCTTCCGTTGATGCAAAGTGAAGCAGGGATGACATTACGGGGTAATGGGAACGAGTGGGAACCATCAGTCACTGTCACCGATGGAGGGACACACGCCCCGCAGAGCGTATTCCCGAGCATGCTTCTCCGCCACGTGCGAGGAGCGTCCCGAAGGTTTCCGCGCACTGTCGGGGAGACGGGGCGGGGGCCAAGCGGAAGGGACCGTTGTGGCCCCTGTCGCCAAACGTGACCGGCAGGTGTCACTTCGCCAAGCCCCGCTTCTCTCAAAGACGTCGCCCACACCCTTCGCGTCGATGTACAGCCATTCAGAACGTCGTCCAGATCGGGCCGAAGAGGCGATTGCGGGATCAACGTGGGCGACGGGCGTCCCTTACCACACAAGATGCGAACGTCGTCAGCTCTGGGCCGGCCCGATAGAATCAGCGTCTTGGCTGAGACCGCGTGAAGGAAGGCCTGCCAAGCCTCAGGGAGGGCGAGCGCTTGAGACTATGTTCGTGCGTCAGCTTTAGCGGTGCTTTCTTTCGCGCAGTCTTAGCTGAGACGCTGATTCTAGCAAGTCGGCCCTGGTGACTTTTCAAAAACAAAAAAGAACTTCGCACACCAATCGGATGTTTAATTGGCAGATGTTTGCAACGTTTGCGGGAATCACATTACCGTGGTCACAGAGGCACTGCCATGGTGCTGTATAACTGGATCCCTGACAGTTTTGTCATAGACTCATAGTTTCCAGATTGACTGCTGGTGGACCGACTAGTCGTGAACTATTTGTTCTTGGACAATTCGTTCTGGTCTGTTTGATTCTCGAGAGATGAATGGTCGTGGACTGACTGATCCAAAGTTGGATAGTCTAGGACATGTTGGTCTTGAATGGATAGATTGACCTCAGGCGGTGTGGCCTCGGGTGGGAAAGTCCCGGACATTGTGCTCCAGGCAGTCTAAATTTTGATCTCAGAGAGTTTGGCACTGTGCAGTTTAATCCGGAACAGTTTGGTGGTGGACAACTGATTCTATATGAAAACTCAGACAATCGGCTTCCAGTTTTTGTCCTGTCCGCGCTTGCTCGCGTTGCTTCACAAGACATAAACGTCTGTTAATCTAAATACAGATAAGCCGTCTAACACTGACAAGGGGGAGGAAGGGAGAACACAACTCGAAGCTCCAAAAGTGTACTAAGTTTTTTTGTTTTTTTTTTTTAATGTGAAGATGCATTAGCGTTACCTGCATTAGCGGCTTATTGACTTTGAAAACTGTGCCGTGCGGACGTCCCCGGTCCACGAAGATTTTGGTAACTCAAACCCAAGTTTCTTCTGTAGAATCCTACCAAGTTTCTTCTGTACAATCCTAAGTACAGGGCGAATTCATCATATGAGAATATGAGCTCCCTCGGGTAAAGAAGGCAAACAACTGAAGATTGTTTCTTTTTTTCCTTTGAACGAATTCACGCTGAGCCTTTTTTTGCGAAATCATGAAATAGCATATTGGACCACTGTAGCGTTTATAAAGAATGAGAAAAGGGTGTAATCGAAAGTAAACAAAATTTGCTTAGATATCGCCTTCATTTTGCCAAAAGAAACACTGCAGTGACCCAAAATTCATTTGTTGTTGCACCACCTTATTATACCTGTGTACGCTGTTTACACCGAAATTTGTTTGAAAATCGATCTTGCCCCCAATCGAAGAGCCTGGCCACCTTCAGAGTCTCTGTATATTTTATGTGCTTCATTTTTGTTCAACAAATGTCTATTTAATGAATAAAGAAGTGGGTCCCATAATTCGAGACCTGCTAATATAGCACAAGTGAGTGAGGTTTTTCATATATTACTTAATAAATGTTGCGGGGGCAAATAAGCGGGTGCGCTGAAAGTGCCAAGTTTTTTCTTTTCTTTAATATAAAATCATTCCTTCGATAGATGTTCCTACTTAGGAACGGTTCGAATATCTTCTGACAAAAGCCACCTCTCATTTCCGTTCTCATTTTTCGTCGGGCCTCCTGGGTGTGCCAATGCCGATATGCTATAAATGTCTTCAATGCCCCGTGATTGTCGTATAAACGTCTCTAGGACCACCATATGCTCAGTTTGGTACCGTACCTGACAACGTGCGGCCCGCAGAGGTAGGTGAGTCCAAGCACGCTGAACCAGGTCAGCGTAAGTCCCAGGAGAAGAGACCTCCCGGCTTGAAGGTGAGGCCGGGACCAGAGGGCACGGACGCGGGGAGCAGCATGGTGGCACACCCCGGAAGCCATGCTGCGCAGAATCGTTAGGATGAAGAGACACTGGCAATTTTTACACAATAGAGAGTCCTATGGATCAGAGGGATCGTTGCAAATCAAGCCGGAAAAACCGGCGCCTGCACGGAGCGAACTCAAACCGAAGGCATATGTTTTTGTTTTTGTTTTCTCTCGAGCTGCTGTTTGTGTACCATTGTGGGGAATTGTGGATTCGTCAAGCTGCTTTGCAGGCTTTTCTAGCTGGCCTTCCCTTACATCACATGGTGAGGAAAGAATGCTATTTTATTTAAAATTAGTGGTGCAGTTTACTTAATAAATTTTCGATATGCAGCTCCCTTCATCAACGTGAAAAAACACCTCGATGGCCATCGTGTCCTCAAAATGCCGTTAATCGACATGGCATTCATATGAGGTTGGAACATCCACCTCCAGCCACGTGCATCACGGAGAAGTATGATGTTACATTAAGCTTGCGTCAAACACCGCCCCTTTGTAAGAGAATACAAAGATGAACTTCATATATTGCATTTCAACATCAACTTCATAGTCGGTGCAGCGAAGCTACGAATATTTGATCTAAAGTAACCGCGAAAAAGTGAGGAATGAATCCAGGAGGGTACAGAACCCTTCGCTTACGGTTTTGAGACGAGCTAGCGAGGCACAAAGGGACCAACGGGGACTGACATCTTCATCCTCCACGCCGCTGGCAAGGGACCGAACGAAACGAATCCGGCCAGGGGTGGTCACGTGATGTCCTCTGAGAAGTGGAGAGGGGAGAGGCGATGCTCGGTTTCCCGCTTTCGTTTTCGCGTCGCTTGAGGAATCGCTTCCGCGCATCCATGGGCTTCATGCTCCTCTCAAACTCCTCTTCTCTCCATATATACCTATTCTCTCTCTCTCTCTTTCGGTTGACTTCACCTCTTGAGTCTTGAGTCGCGGTCTCATCTTTTAATAATGAGCTCGCTTCCGAACAGCGACGGGTGTTGCACGTAAGTTCCTCAAAGGAATAAACGACAGTCTGTCCACTGTTCCTCCTCGCTTTCGATTTCGAAACAGTTTGCGGTTAACAAAGTCCGCTAATTAAAAACAATAAAAAAATATGTAACGAGTTGTTATTTTACGTTTGATCGGAAGGTTTAGCGGCTTATACTATAAATAATATTCCAATCAAATAACTGAAAATAAAAATATTTTAATGTGTGTAATTGACATGCAACACTGTTTTTCACAGCGCAGCTGTTAGTGCCTCGTTCGGGCGAAGTCGGGCGTCGTTCGTACGCAAAAACCCACGTGATCGGGGGTTAGAGACTGATAGTGTAGTGATAGAGCCGCCGCACTATCGCACTCATTATCGTCGTGGCTTGTGCACTGTCTCGTGCACTGCCACTTGCCGCTACGAAACGCACCGCGCTAAGGCGCAAAATTGTGCATGGGATACCCGTGCGTGATTGTGCGCTAACGCTCCTTTCACTACCCGTTCCGCTGCGTAGTGATATCGAATATTCATTAGACTTGACGGAATGTCTATGTCAGTCAGTATTTCTGAGATGGAGGCAACCCTGGAAGCGTTGGGCATAGTCACCAAAAAGGGGTGCGGTGGAGGAGCAACTGCCGCCTTCCAACCTTTCCGGAAAATCATTCCGATACCTTCGATAACGATACCCGATGACGGAACAATGCATGTGCAAGGGCGTCGGCAGAGTACCGGGAATCATCATCGGAGTCATCGGTACGATCTACTAAAGCTCCCTAATGAGCACATGGGAGACAGCAGCCTTTTCGTCGCCGTCGTAGGATATGTATACGGCCATGGCCTCCTCTATACTCACGAAGCCTGGCAGTTCGATGAAGCAGCCATAGAGCGCCCGGTCGAAGATTTGGAGCGCCAGGATCTGGTAGCACAGAGCATTTCTCGGGGAAGCTGTATAGTCAGCGCACAGCTTTTGCAGCGGCGAGGACTCGAAACATGGTTTTCAGACTCGACGAGAAAGAAAGCGGTAGCGCAAAGAACGCGAGGAGCACGAGCGGACATTTCATCGCTCGGGACAAGTGTGTTTCGGCGTCTCGCCGCAGCGGGGCGCCCGTTACATGCCTTTGCTCTCATCTGTTGTCTGCCGCTCTACCTTTTCACTTTCGGCGGCCGGGGCTCGGGGCGATCTGCCAGGCTTTGTCAGCATAGAGGAGGCTATGGTACGGCACACCTTTTTGTTTTCGTTGCATGGCACAAGCTCGCCCCATTAAACATTTATTTTCGGTTTTCCCATCCGTCTAGTCTTCTTTATACGGGGCGATAGAGTTGTAGTACGTTCCGATAACTCCGATATCGATACCCGATTCTCTGGCGATGCCTTTGCACATCCACTGTGCCGTTATCGGGTATCATTATCGGAGGTATTCGAAGGATTTGCTAAAGCTCCCTAATATGAACGGTTTTATTTGGTCTAATGTTTCGAATAGTGTATATCTGCCACTTCTAGTTTCTATTGACGTATTTGATTTCGCCTAATGTTGTCAATTGTTTTTAGCTCATTATATCCTGCGCGGACTATCAAGAAGGTTTTATTTTGCTATTCCTGAGCCCAGAAAAGGAAAGAAAAAAGGCAGTCAGTGAATAAATTGAACTCCACGGAACTGTCCATTTCACAGAGGTGTGTGTGTGTGTGCGTGGGGGGGGGGGGGGGGCTTTTTAAAGTTTCTTAAAGGCAACTTTTTTATGGGAAAACCGAAATACAAAGCCCTCTTTACGAATAAATACAAAGTTTTCGGTGAAATGGCAAAGACTGTCAACAAAAAATTATCTGGGTAACGCTTCGCCCGTGACGCCACATCCGTCCGTAAAGCGCGAAACACATGTACGACGAAACCGTCCGATCCGACGTCCGACCGCGCAATACGACGGTCGGAGGCGGGGGTTTTCAACGCTCTCTGATGCTACGAAAACCCTCTCCCCCAAGGTCATTCCGGCAGTCTGCACGTCGGATCGGACGGTTTCGTCGTACATGTGTTTCGCGCTTAACGTCAGATCTCTCTGCAACACCCCCCCCCCCCCCCCCCCCCCCACACACACACACACGGATACACTCTAAGGTGGCTTACCCCACCCCCCAGCAACCCGACCCCGATATTGCGCGATGTTCATACTATAGTGTTCTAGTTCATACCTTTCTCCTGCGACGGACGCCGTCGCGTTATCCAACCGTGGATTTGCATAAAGCACTGCCAGTTCCGAGCGAGCTCGATCGTTCGAATGCGAATCCCCGCCCGACGAAGACGCATGTTTTCTCCGAATTCTCGCAATAACGTTTTTCCTCCACGCGTAAGTGCCTGCAACGACTTTTATGTGTATGAAGAGCCCAAGCGATCGGTTATTTGCGACTACCGACTGCGCAAAAAAATAAAAAATAAACTGTAAAAAAAAAGTAAAAAAACAGCAACATTGTGTCTGGTGCACGAACGCGGACGGCTTCCGTCGCTGCTGGACACGAATAACCGTTAGTTCCAACCGAATGAGAGGAGGTCGCCTCCTCTCCAGCGTCCGCTCTGCCAAAGTGGAAAGAGGTGGAAGGAGCTTCCACTTCCTTCTTTACCTGTCACCGACTATAGTTTTTTTTTTCTTTCTTTTTTTTTCTGGTGGGACCAAAGTGTTTAGGTGAAAGAATCTTGCGTTAGGGTATGGTCCTAAGTTTTGGGGCTATGACGGCCACGAGGAAATATGCGAAATTAATTAATTTTCTGGCTAATCACCCATACTCGGGTCACTCTTATTTATTATTTTTATTAATGATATTGAAAATAGTGTACCACAGACAAACCTTGTTTCTTATGTTGACGACACAACTATTTTTATTAAGGGCCACACAGCGGATGAAATAGAGAGCACGGCAATAAGAGTCCTTTCAAACATCGATTTGTGGACGAAAGTAAACGGGCTAAAAATAAACGCGGAAAAAACTAAATGTGTGTTATATGGACCACAAAAGAGACAATTACCTAATTTGCTTCAAATAACTTTAGGGTCTTCAACACTTCAAGTGGTAAAGTTGGTAAAAATATTGGGCGTTTATTTCACTGAATCGTTGTCATGGAATGAGCACGTTGATTATATACATCAAAAAGTTCGTAAATCTATTGGTCTCCTTAGTAAGAATCGCGATGTCTTTCCAACAGGTGTTAAATTACTTATATACTAATCTTTGAATTACACTCACTACGTGTATTGCCATTTAGTTTGAGGCCAAACAACGATGCAAAATATCACAAAATTACTAACCCAAAAGAGGGTTCTTCGAATTGTCGCAAATGTACCATTCTTGCACCCTTCTCGGGAGCTCTTTCTTAAACATAACGTCATTCCTATTGACCACTTGAACAAACTTCGCCTGCTGGTGATGTATAATATGGCATTAAAACATAATATTGTTTTCCTTTTCGCACTGTCGGGCTTAGCAAAACTAGACCATAAATATGTCACACGTCACGGCGAAATTTGGAGCGTTTCAATAGCCCGTACGAATTACGGCTTTACATCATTAAAATACGCATTACCATCTTTACTTAATAAACTCGAAGCCAATGGTATCAGCATCTATGGGACATCAAATCGGATGTTGGCAAAAATCATACTACAGACAGCATAATTTTTACCTTTAGTGCCTGGAGTTTTTGTATCTGTGGTGAAACTTGTTTCTGCTTTAAAAATATTTGTTTTGACGCATTCAAGCTGAGTGCCACAATGTGAATTCTCGTGATTGTGTTTTAGTGCCCATTTTTGTGTTTGCTTTCGTTGTGTTTCCAATGCTGCCTTTCCGCCAAAGTGTGTTAGGGCGCCAGGACCTCGTCAAGCTGCAACCGCAGCTTTTTGTCCTGACGTCCTCCCTTTTCGTACCAACCAGAATGGGAAATAAAATACATTATTAAATGTTTAATTAGCTTCTTACATTTGTTAGGCTCTTTTTCTTCTTTCTCGACCGCGACGGGTAGGTTTGCACTGGCGGTGTAAAACCTTTTCTTTAGTATTGATAGGTAGAAATGATTAATTTTGCAGTTCTCGCACACCGACCGACTCTTGCTTGGCTTGGCACTTCCGCGCTGCTCGGCTGCCGTCCAGTGCCGTAGACGGCCCGGTGCCTCTGAGCAGCCGCATCTCCACGGGGCCATGAGGAATGGGACGCCGTCTGCTGGAATACTCTCGGCGCTAGGGCTGTATTCACCCGTTTTTGTTTGGCCACAAACTCAGTGGCGCCATCTATTGGGTAGCCCCGGCACATTTCCGGTTCACGTATTTTTTTCGAATGTTTTACTCGTTTTTATTTTATCATAGGAGTGAATTTAGTCTGACAGTGCTACAAGTGGTGTGAATTTAGTCTGACAGTGCTATAATTTCCTTAGGATAGCGTGTATATTTGATTTCGCAGTACAGCCAAAGCTACAGGGGAGAGAGCATATTCCAACCTATTCAAGAAGAGGGAGAGGAGGAACAGAGGAGAAAGGCTGGGAATCCCAGTCCCATTTCTCCTGTTCCCCTTTCCTATCTCTTGAAAAAGTTGGGGCTCGCTCTCTCCCCTGTGGGTCTGGTCTCAGACTTGTACGTAACTTAAATACTCTACTCAAGTTACTGTATCTTAAATACTTTTGTGAGTAGCTTGGTATCTTGCAAATACTTTCGAACGCCAGTATTTGGTACGCTAACTTAAATACTTTTTTCAAGTAGCTTGTACTCATTTTAAAGTTACTTTTAAGTTACTTTCTATTTTTTATTTTCTCTAGAGGCGGGAAGCTTGGAAAATATTGAACTCAAGTTATTTTGCCTAGGCGCCCTGCCACTATAGATACATTTTGTGCCAGGTAATACAGTGCACTTCCGTGCTTCTGCAGAAAGAGGTGACACGGAGAAGCACGTGTCGGAGCCTCAAGCCGAACGGACGCGTGTCGTGTCTTCTAACTGGGCAAAACGTCAAAGCCCATTTTCTTACAATTTGTTTGTGGCCACGCCCAAGAGCAACAGAGGTTCCGAAGCTGAAGGGCATGCGGGTGAAAGCATAAGATGTGTACAAGGCCACAAGCCAGAGGGAGGGCACTTGTGTCGGGGAGCGGGTGGGTTCTACTAGTGTCTGGTAAGAGTCGACAGTAAACCGGAGTGTTTTTTATATTATGGAGTGAAAGCATATAAAAGAAAGCCTTCCAGCTTCAGAAATGCCTTGGCATCCGCACGCAGTCGCACACACCGCAAGCATTAGTAGACCGTGTTTCCTCCTCCGCTACGAAGAAACCGCCACTGCGCCTGCGTGCCGATGGCTTTGGCTGTAGAGTTCAGGGTAGCGGAGGGGCTTAGCGGAGGGGGAAACACGGTCTACTAAAACTCGCTATTGTCTTCGGTAGCACGAATGACCGCCAACGCCCACCACGATAGCGCCCGCTCTCCTCTGGCCTGCACTCGCCGACTCCCGACTGCACGGCACCGCCAGTGCACTGACGGGGGAAGCGGAAATGAACACCCGACACAAGGGCAGCGTCGGAGGCGAGCCTTTGTGTAGAAACTCCCTCCGCAGGCGAACGGGCCTCGCGCTTCCCTCGCCTTTGTCCTTGCCATAACAAGGGTATAAAAGAAAAAATGTTTTTATTTTTGTTTCTTTCGTTGTTACTTGGGACCTCATAGAAGCCTGAGTGGCAGCCTAAGTCTAGCTAAGAGATTTCCAGGAGGCTCCATAGTAGGTGGGAGGAAGAATTTTTTCTGACTTCGGTAGAGAAAATTGTAACTTGAGAGTATCTTGAAAGTAACGAGTTACTTTTTTGGTGTTTTTTTTTGTACTTTACTTAATTACTTTACAAATTTGAGTATTTAGTAGTCTACTCAGTTACTATTTTTCGTGGTACTCAGTAACTTAACTTAAATACTTTTAGTGAGTATCTTGTACAAGCCTGGTTTGGCTGTACTGCACGGTTGTAGTGAGACGGAGTATAGTTCGGAACCGGAAGTGGTTGGGGGCTATTTGCACACTGGCACCACCACGTTTTGACTCACGCGAGAAAGAGCGAAGAAACGCCAGCCCCGGGGAACCACGAACTTCATTACCCAGCGAGCTCTCACGTACATTGGGGAACGCACTTGAGGAAAGAAAAACAAAATGGCCGAAAACATAGAAAGCACTCGCTTACACTTTTTTTTTTCTTTAAACATAATGTACGTAGTTGGGGAATTGACGCCAGTGATGGAAGTGGCGTTTGACTTTTGAAGCAGGCTCTGTATCAGGCAAATTAATGGCTTGGAGTAGCCACTGATGCTTGAGAGAGAGAGAGAGAGAGAGAGAGCAGATGCCAACATCTAGCTGTTAACGCATCACTTGAAAATTTAAAAAAAAAAAAAATTGATTGCATCGCTACACGAGTTTATCTTTGATAATGATTGAGGGTCCCTCTTTGATACTGGAGCATATTGCTTATTACCTTTTGCGATAAGAATAAAAAGGGCGCAAAACGTACACAGAACTTTCTATTTAGAAATAAGGTTCTGGTCAAAGTAGAGTCTATCTACCAATGGGTACTTGAAAAAAAAATATTGCTAAAAATAAATCATAGCGCAACACTTCAGATGGAATAAAGCCTCACTCCCCTCCCCCCTCTACACTTGGTAGTTTATAATGCCCGTAAATATAACTTCCGTAAATTGCGAGTAAAAACCAACATATTCGTTAGCACGTCTATCAATATAAATGCATACCCCAAGCTTTATTGACCTATCAAACTCAATACTCTAGTTTCATAAACCGCAAAAGCAACCCCCTACAACTATTATGAAAGTCTACACTCGTGCTCCAAATGTGACACCGCTCTTTCGCGGCGCTGGAACCAGGGTTGAGTCAAAGATCGCTGCTCTTTCGATCGAAAGCTGCACGGGAACTATTTTGACTTCCGTATTTCTTCAATTATAGACTCACGTGTTTTTTTAAATTTTGTTTTATTGGCACAACATTCTAAACTTAGAGGTCAAGCTATAGACAAGACGAAATAAGGTAGACTTGTCATAGTACTGGGCATAATTCCCGAGCCTATCGCGCTGACCCAGGCAGGCGCTCTCCCATGTCAGCCGCTGCTCCTAGCACTCCGGTGCAAGGCGGGGAAGCTCGACGCGCGCGCTCTGGTGAGAGGCAGTGGAGGTCGATGCGAGCGGCGAAAGTACCAAATCAAATCAAAGTTTATTCAGACAACCGCCGAAGAATACTCTTTGGTCACCCTCAGGAGGGTGACCAAAGCAGCTGTTGGCACCAAGTAAGCTCTCCTTTTCGTCCAATAGCGTCTCTTGGCTTTTGTGATCGTTGGGGGCGTGTCCAACCACAGCGCCATGTCGCCACTGCTAGGACACGCATTCCCACTGGTAACACACGAACCTTGTCCGATGTGCGTATGAGGGCACAAAGATGATAAAACACAATCTGCATTTCTTTCGTTCATTTGTTTTCTCGCGTGTGTGTGTGTGTGTGTGTGTGTGTGTGTGTGTGTGTGTGTGCGCGTGCGTGCGTGTGTGTGTGTGTGTGTGTGTGTGTGTGTGTGTGTGTGTGTGTGCGTGCGTGCGTGCGTGCGTGCGTGCGTGCGTGCGTGCGTGCGTGAGTGTAAAAAAAAAAAACCCGCGCGCGCCGGGGGGGGGGGGGGGGGGGGGGGGTTTGGGAGCTGCAAGCCGCACTTCAGTCACTTCGGCGTCCGAAGAAGACTCGCGGGCCGTGGTTTGGTCACCGCAGTGGCTGCACCAATCAAATGCATCGAACTATCCGTGACTTGCACTTTTGGTACGAGAGTTCGTGGTTGAATTCGTTCGAACCTTCGACTCTGCTCTAACATAAGATGAGACAAACTACACGGCACGTAGAGACGCTGAGAAATATATATACAGGGTCGTCGAGATAAATCCGGAAAATTCACATTATTCATTCAAACACATAGAGGCAGAGGAAAAAATGCGGGTCTTCGTGCACTGCCAAGCTTATCGTTGACCTTGCCACTCCCATGTGATTGGCCAGGTCGTTCATGCTGCGCCGAAGGTCCTTCTCAATTACTTGCTTTAATTCGCATACGAACTCTTCGTTTCTTTTGCGATTCGACCGGCCGACCGGTTTATGTGCTTTGCTCTGTCTGCCGTAACGTTTCCCTGGCCGGCACATTCTCTGAACGCCTTGGCAACGCTGTAAACTTGTGCCTTCTTGTAGCCGAACCACGCAATGACTTGCTTAGGCGATTTTCCAGCGCGAAGCGATTCGAGTATTGCTGCCCTCCGGTCGTATTCCGTGCTCATTTTTGAGTAAGTCGCGAATTGTTTATTATGCGATGGTTCGCTGTAGAATAACGTGGCCACAGAAGCGCAATACGGCAGGCTAGCTTCACTGTATTGTAGTCAAAAGTCTGGAACAAGTCCGGATTTGTCTCCACGGCCCTGTATCTGTGCAGCATTTTTCTTTCCCCCTACTTCTCTGAATATTAAGTTCAATAATTAAACATTTTATTTGTTGAAGCCCACTTGGCGCAGGTGTGGTGCAATTCTTAGCAAAAATTGCATTTCGGCGAAGGGTGAAAGAAACTTTCCTCCGTGGCGCAATTTGGCGCAAATGGCGCGGCGCTTCCAGCTCGACCTCTTTATAATCTAGCAGTGACATAAACGTTCGATTAAAATCTTCCTAGTGGGCGCTACGGGGCGAAAAATGTCATAATTGCATTGCTTGCACACGGCTTTAAACAGAACCGAAGCGAGCAGGCAGTGCCCATGACGTCGATCTCTCTGTGCCGGCTCCGTAACCCACGTATTAAGTGACGTCAGCAGCGCGACGCAAATGCAGAACGAAAAGATCGACGTCACGGCTGCTCTTTGCCGGCTTAGTTTCTTTTTGAAGCAGTGTAGGAGGGTGACATTTCTCGCCCCGTAGCAACCACTACAAATTTTTTATTCAACATTTCATAACACGGTCTTAAAATATGAAAGTGAATTGTAACCTCTTAGTTATCGAACTGATAAACTCTTTTTTCTTCTTTTTAGGTGCCGCCGAAGCACCAACCTGACCCCAAGGCTAACCCTCCCTTTTCATTTTTTATTCGTAACTACTAAAAATAAAAACATGTATACTATTACAGGTTGGTAGCAGTGCTGATGTCAGCTATGCCACAACGCAAACTGTCATGGGACTAAAGCATTTTTATTTGGCTTCAACAATGCGAGATCACGCGACACCGGTCACCAGCAAACAAAGCTAAAAAGAGTGCTCTCCAAATGTAACAGGAATGAACTGTAATGACATGCCATATTTTATTAATGTCATTTCAATAACAAAAAAGATGATGCCGACAGACGGTAGTGGGTGCACCTAAATTACAACTAAGGAGAGGCCTTAAAAAAACCGCTATGCCTTGCTGTCATTTTGGCCTTCCAGTTTCTCGACAACAGGCTCTTCGAGAGAGGTCTCTTCGAGGGCGGTACGGATCTGTCTGACAAGGCCTTCGGGATCGTCCATTGCAGTTTTGCCTGGAATGCAAGAAAAAAAAAAAGTTTTAGCCTTACAGCTTGAAAACGCATAGAAGATCTAGGCTTCTTATCCCACCATAGCTTTACATAATATATCTAGCAGAAAACGTCAATCTCGATCTCCCCATTTATTTCAACCTTTGCAGAATGGCAGGGCATCGGCGTGAACATCGGTGGATCCGATGGGCCCGTATTGCTGACAGTGCGCTTTAAAGGCCTACGACCAGACTCGAGATTCTGCGAGGCAGAAGATCCTCCTCACCATGGGGGAGGAGGAAACAGGCAACGGTGGACAGGGTAGAAGGGGGGAGAGAAGGAAGCGAGGGAAAGGTGGAAAGCGCGAACTGATCGTCGGTTTTTAAAGGGAAACTGAGGTGGTTCTGTATTTGAGTAAAAACGCTTAAACCGTCTTCGTTTGGCCTCCAGGATACGAATGTCGAGAATATATATATATATATATATATATATATATATTTTTTTTTTTTTTTTTTTTTTTTTTATTTGGTGCACGGAGGTTGCAGAAAATCCCTTCCAAGGTATCACTGAAACCCCTCCTTCCCGGAGCGCTACGTCATAAAGGAGCTTTCGGAACCTCCGTTTTTGCGGACCTTCAGCGCCCATACTCCATTAACCCTGAAAGGTGCCCTGAGGAGGTTTCTGAGATGGCCTAAATATGCCGATAACTCCCTCTGCTGACTCTAAGTATCCTAGAAATCCCTAAATCGTGACGATACGCGACCAATTTCCTCATTAAAAAAAAACAAAAAAAAAACAATCAAAGGTCGCAATGCACCGAGGTTATCTCGGGTTTTTTACAACCTTTAAAGCCGCACTGACACTAGTCGTGACGTCTTTTTCTGACCTTTAAAATGTCAGAAAAAAACGTCACGACTGGTGTCAGTGCGGGAATATATTCGGCAAGCTTGCAATTGCACGCGCTGCCCACACAAGTGACACGCGCTTGGCAGCCCAAAATATCTTTGTATGACGCAACGGCTGGTCGGAGGTTTTTCGTATTTTCTCGCGAGTTACATCTTCGGAGAAAACGAACGCGATATCCGATTCACGAAATAAAAAAACACCCAACAAATACCTCTAACTTTTTTTTTTTTTTCAAGAACAAACTCCTTTTTGGTTTTTCTTTAATATAAACAAACAGTAAAACAATATTTTCAAGGTGTGTAATCGCGTAATCGTGTAATCGCCGCCATTTTGAATATGGTGATGCTGCTTCCCTGATGCCGATCTTATGTGTACGCATTCTAATAAAAGATGTTTTGCACCAAAAATAAATCAAGACCTCTGATACCGACATTAAACACACAAAATAAATTTTGAAAGTAAGTTTGAGATCACTCTACTTTAACACTGAGACTGGCTACGTAACACCTTTTCCACAAGGGCGCAGCCATTGCGAATGTTATCACTACTGGTATGCGGTAAAACATCTTTTGATATCTCCACACCGCTGGAAGGTGTTTACGAAAAATGTGTGTTCGCCACACATTCTTGTTTTGCCTCCCCTATATTTTCTCGCATATTCCAGGTTGAAATGTTTTATTCTTTTTTCGCCCCCATACCAAATACGGAACCCACGTGACTGAGGACGAGAGGAAACAGAAAACGTCTATAATTAAAATGCCTCAAGAGCGATGAGTGAATCAATAGATATAAATTTATCATCTTTTGAATCTAACAAGGCCAATACTTCGTCAGATCGTACACGGCTCATTTTCTCCGAATTCAAACCAAAACGAAACCAAGTGTGGTTTCGTATAACCGATCTAAATATTAAAAGTATACTGATCAACAGCTCACGTTTGATTCTAAGGGCCTATTGCATAGTAACGTACGTTTTAAATAAGCTTTCTAGATAAATACGATTATCAGAGTAAATGCAAGCCAGAGCGACACAATGAAACCACATCCCCGCATTGCCACATTCAAAATTGCAGTGCCCAAGAAGTGCGGGATCTCCCACGCTCCGCAACTTGCTGCGATCGTTGTAGAGGCAGCTTTGCCACCCTAAACATGTCCCTTCCCACAACGTTTGCTGCTCCGATTTTTTTCTAGACGCCTCCCCCAGCATTTCAAAACAGCAAGTGCTTGGCCAACGGTGGTGGGTCGGAGGCGATGGATAGTAGATTTGACGTGAGGGTAGTGAACTCGAGGTACGGGGAAAAAGCTATGGTAGTGTTCGCGGCGTACGCCAAGATCACTACAGTGGTGATTTCAGCGTACAGGATAACCACTACAGCAGTAGTTTTAGTGGGGTAGTAAGATCGGCGTCCAACAAGGCCGAGACGGCTCGGCGCGGTCTTTGTCCCGCCAAGCCGTCCAAAAATCGGAGGCTCCGTCCGAAAAATATTTGGCGCCCCAGATCTTTCGAATCGTCTCCGATTCTCGCCAAAGGGGAGGAGCCTAGCTGCCGTCCAAATTTCGTTTGCAGTTTCCGCGGTATATTCGGTCGTTTTTCCTGCCCGAACACAAAAACCAATATCAAACGCGCGCAAAAACAAACACACAAAAAAAAAAAAAATAGCAGGAACTAGTTACGAATTTTATACCGCAGATTTCGGTTGCAATAGATACGTGTTTCACGACAAACTCGCGTAACATGGGAATTGATATCAAGACAAAAAACGCCGGAAGGAGCAACGAATTCGCATGTCACGGGAATGAATACCGCAGATTGCGGACGCAGCAGATTCGCATTTCAGAGTGTGATAAACGAGCGGGAATCGGGGGTGGGCGATGTTTCGAAATCCTTACATTACGGATATTCACCCCAAAGAAACGGGATGGGGGATATCTCGGTTGCGGGCGTTCATCCGGAAAGTTACGGCAATCTTTTTTTAACTTTACTTAAAAAAAAAAAAAAAAACGGAATTACGCATTGTATCAGAAGAAATAAAGTCAACAAGCAAACTAACATCAGCTTGTCGCGCCCAACATACCGTCTGCTTTTCTATCAATCACTTTCCCATACTTTCTCTCACACCACCAAATATTAACTGTGACATCCTGGGTTTGCTATGCAATTGAAGTCTTCCAGTGCCTTGAAATTTCAAAAAGAGTATTGTACAGAAAGAGCTAACAGACACTGTAAAGTTATGCGACATTAATAAGGGGACCTTAGAACCTCCGTTCACCCAAAATCGTCCACAACGCGAATTGTCAAAATAACGAGACAAAACCGTGTATTTACCCAGTTCATCCCCATAACCCTTGCCTACACATGCCTTGCACGTGACGTCAGACAGCACCGTAGCAACCGCCATTGCTCCATACCATGCTCATGTGCCCATACCCTCTGCAGCAAAAATTTGCCATTATTGAATTTCTTCTTCTCAACAAAGCTTGCCGCAAAGAACTAATTCGACAGTGCCAAATGTATGCTGCAGAAGGTACGCACAGGGGAGCATGGTACGGAGCAATGGCAGCTGATGTCACGTCAATGCAAGCCATTTATACAGTGGGGTATTAATATTAACAAGGGATAATATTAACGAGACAGGGCTATTTTCAGAGATTGCATACTTGTATAACTTTTGTGTAACACCTTAGTCAATCTCTGACAATAAGAAGTAACCTGAAATATGTTGCTGAGTAAAAACGTCAGAGTTGGACAGCAACGGATGAAACTATTATAGTTATCTCGTCTCTAGCACCAACGCATTTTGAGCCGACGTACTGATCAACAACTAACCGATCATCTAACATACCGATCAACGACGACTAACAAATAACTTGGCAAGCAGTGAACGCTTCGGCGCCACTCATCCAGTCATGACAACGCAGCAAAATATGTGACAGCTTTCCACGGAAGGCGTTCGCTACAACGGTATGTCTCCATGCGTCTTGCTCAAGCGTGCTGATTGACTCACCGGGGCTATGCTCTTTGCTGTTTGCCAAGTTACGGTGAAACGGGGTATATAGCGACGGAACATCCTCTCCCGACTGCTTCTACTTTCTTCCTAAAGGAAAACCTTTCTAATAAGATGGCTGCCACGGAGCCGGGACAAGCGTACAAAATCCAAGTCAAGACCAGCATACCTTTCAAAACTCCTAAAGGGGCTGACTGGAACCTAAAATGTAGCTGCGGGTCATCCGAATATCGCCTTCTTAATTTTGCCAAGAAAGCCTGTGTCCCCGTCTTGCGGAGTCTCATCTTTCCCGGCGTACGTTTTCTTGTCGCCTAAAGAGGGGGAGGAAAGACGAAAAAAAACGTGGTCACGTCTGGTGCACCAAGCGTAAGCTACGGGCAAACTCTCCCTCCCCCTTTCTTTTGCAGCTAGGCCAATGTCCTCACGTAACAGTGCACCAAATCGTATTGATTTGACAGCTTCCTGGTAAACGTACGCAACGAGAACCGCTTAGCCCTTCCACTGCCAAAAAAGAGTCTGGCTCGTTTAGTGACATATGCTTTAATAGCAATTCTAAGAAAGCTGCAACTGCGAGGCCATAACTTTCCATTGTGCTAAAAAGAGGTTGAAGGAAAGACTATAATGTGAGTGCTTTGCTTTGGCATGCTTTTCAGTTGCACAAACGAATCTCCCAGTGCTGTAGCTATAGAACTTCAGTTATAGGCACAGAACTTCAGTCGTAAGCCAACAGCCATGGTGAAACTACGATGCCCAAGATAAACTAGGACGAAAGCCGCTCCTGCCAGACAAGTGCAGAAGTAACTTCTTTCAGAGCTACGAGCTCATGCTCACAGCTTTCGCCGACATGGTTACCGAAATGCGGACGGGCTACACCTTTTACGGCAGTGAAGGGTTCGAGCTATGAAACCTCTCAAGAAGGGAACACAGGCTTCGGCATCGCGAGAGAGAAAGAGCAGAAAACCGGCAGCGGTTTACAAACCCAGCTTGTTGCAACTCATGATTTTTTGGGTTGCGCTAAAGACAAAGATTCGGGGAACGATCACAACTCGGTCCAGCACACTATAACACCTTAGAGTACAACAGCAAAGCATGGTCTGCCCTGAAGATTTCTTAAGGGGGGATGCTGATCTTTAACTTTTTATTTTTAATCATCATGCTGTAATTTAGTATACTCATGTATTTCTCAGTGGTGATTTCAAATAGGCAATTAGTTTTCATATAGCTCTACTAGATCTTGAGTTATCAATAAATTTGTAATTTTAGTTAGGTCCTCATTACGGGTAGTTAGCGTGAAATTCTTCAGAACATATCAGAAATTTTAACCGAATTGCGTTCACCGAGACATGTTTTGCGCGGTGATGCTATTTTAAGCCTTAAGGATATTACATTGGTAAAAAACACTTGCAATCAAGTTGCACAAAACGGGAGGCTATATCTTTCCGAGATTAATTAACTAAAATTATTGTATGACATATAAAGCAACAAAAATAGCATCACCGTGCAAAGCATGTCTTGTTGAATGCAATTCTATAAAAATATCTGATATCATCTGAAGAATTTTATGCTAACGACTTGTACGAAGGACCTAATTAAAATTACAAATTTATTGACAACTCAGGATCTAGTGAAGCTATCTGAAAAGTAATTGCATATTTGAAATCACCACCAAGAATACATCAGTATACTAAATTTCAGCATGATGAATGAAAAATAAAAGGTTAAAAGACCAGCATCCCCCACATGCAAAAGAAAAAAACATTTTTTTTAAACAGCCTGGATGGGAAAAGGAAGTTATTAAAGGGATGCTGAACCGAAATCTGGATTCCACAAAACACTGGCAAAAGCGTGCAACGGGATGCTACAAACACCAAAACATCACTCGTACAGCGATATCTCGAACGGATGATTGTATTTTTAAAAAAAAAGGAGGCGCATTTGACAGATATGTTTACGTCTTGTTTTTCCAAGAAGGAGAGAAAACGGCCTCGCGTCTTCTCCGCCTCGCCGCCTTGAGGGAGCGAAGAGAAGAGAGGAGGATAAAAGATATATTCACGGTCACGCGTCTCGTCGGCCTGGTTCAATCTCAACTTCTATTTTCAAAAATATGCATGGCCATTCATTCGAGATATCGCCTTACGAGTAGTGGTGTAGGAATTGTAGCGTCCTGCCTACATTTCCTGCATTGTTTTTTTTAAATCCATATTTCGGCTCACCATCCCTTTAAACGAACTTACAATGAACAAGAAAAATGTTTAGAGCTATATTTACAGCGCGAAACGTATTTGTAGTTGGCGCCCGCAGAAAAATGGTCGCTATTTATCGCATGACTGGCCGCTATTCATCACATGGTGCTTGCGCTCTTTCGGAAGCTTCCCATGGCCTCTAAAAGTTACTTATTCATCTTCACTTGAAGTGCAACAAAAAAAAGTTTCAGCATTTCCACTCTGGTAAAGAAGGAAGACCAGCAAAGCTGTACTATGGTCAGACGACCTCAAGGACGACTTCTTGCACGACCTCAAGGACGACGCATAAGGACGACGTCAAGGACTACTTCTAAGGTGACCTCGAGGACGACGCCTAGAGGATGACCTCAGAAACGATCTCAAAGACGACGCCTAGGACGAACTCAGGGACGACGTCTAGGACGACCTCAAGGACAACGTCTAAAACAACCTCAAAAACGACTTCTAGGACAATTTCGAAGACAACGTCTACGACGACCTCAAGGACGATTTCTGGGACGACCTCGAGGATGACGTCTAGGATGACCTCAAGAATAACTTCTAGGACAACCTCAAGGAGGACGTCTAGGACGAGCTCAAGGACAATTTCTAAGACGACCTCGAGGACAACCTCAAGGACGACGTCTAGAACGACATCAAGGATGATTTCGAGGACGACTTCGAGGACGACCTTGAGGACGACCTTGAGGACGACATCTAGAATGACACAGAGAAAAATTCAGCCTTTCCACTCTGGTGAAAACCAGAGTGGAAAGGCTGGAAAGGTTGTTGCCATCTATGAGCAAGGCCGGCAAGCCAATTGTATGGTTGCCGCCATCGCTCATAGATGGCGGTAGCTGTCCAGAGTTTTGTGTCAACATTCCTTTGCAGGGGACACTATCGTGGGGAAACTAGTCCTTAACATCTCCGCTGTAAAAACGAAGATTAATACGTAACTTTTAGAGCCCAAAGGAAGCTCCTGAAAGAGCGCAAGCACCATGTGAAGACCTGTATCCGGTCAGAAATTGACGGCGGCGGCGTGGAGAAACGCGTTGAACCGGTGGCGACCACGCTCAGCCATAGAGTTATTACAATAAAACCTAGAGGCTCAGGTGACACTAGTGTGCTCTTGGATTTGGACGCAGACAGCAACAAGTCGAAATTGGACTTCTGGTAATGCATTCCTATGGGAAAACGCAAATGTGTTTTCTCTTTGCGCTCGATTACGAGAGCAAATATTGCTTAGTGTTGCAACAGAATAAAATTTTGGAACAGTTGGATGTACTAAAATATGCGTCGGAGCATTTTCTTTAGAATTCATGGCGTCGAACACTACGCTAAAGTAGCCCAATACACATGTATAATATGTGTTGATGTTGCAGACTGCTGTTATAGGGCACATATTTACGCATGTAGTCAATGTTTTGAAGCACACAGAGTGAATCAGCTTGACGAAACACCAAAAGGATGCTAACACATGCCAAATCAAACAATCAAAACATTGACTACATGTTTGCAGGTAGACCTCAAGGCAGCTTGCTTTAAAGGTCTACCTGCTATCCATCAATCAGAGCTCAAAGTTTTAACATCACCACAACCCCTGCAAAAAAAAAAAAAAAAAGCAGACGAACTTGCGCCCTGCATATCAGACACTTTACCAAAAAAGTGTTGCAATATTCCACACAGATGTCGCTCAAAGGCAGGTAAATGCCAAAGTGGCGGTGCGCTTGTACGCACCTTGCCTCGTGTTGACGATGCCGTCCACCGTGCCTGGGGTGTCGTCCTCGAGTTCTGCGTAAGCTTGCACCAGGGCCTTCTGCTTGTCACTCATCTTCCTGCATAAGCCGCACAGAACGAACCCTTGACAACCCAAACACCCGCGGACCGTTGAGTCCCACAAGTTGCCCGACGTGGCGACTGAGAGTGCTTGCGATGTGGTCCCTCGCATCCTTAAACCGATCTGATTGTGCAGGAGATATACCATAAGAGACTTTATTTTTTGCGGGCTCAACGTTTTCACAAATTCTTTGAACATCTCGCAGGCACAAAAATATTGCGATTTCGAGTAACGTTTTTTTCTACTCTCAAACTTCGGGATAATCAAGTCGTTTTCTGGTCGTCACCCACAGCTTAAGAAGTGTGGGGTCGTGGCTCGTCAGGCTTACACTTCTTGGTTCGCAATCGATTCTTCGGCACTCCTATTGGCAAAAGCCGCAATCTGCCCAGCCTTGGAGCAACAGTTAGATGCGATTTCAAAAGTGCAAATAAGACAAGGACATTCCTGTCTTACCCACTTGTCCTGTTGGCACCATTTATTTGTACCAAAGTGCACAGACTGGCCTAGCATCATGCTTAGCTCAGTGCACCAACTCATGTTTACAGACAAGTGCCCCTAGCAGCACGCCACCTGTACCGCGTTTGTGCGATGGAGTGTGGGGGCAAGGAGCACCGCGTCCGGCATCAACAAACAATTGGAATGCGATGTCGTTGGCATCGGTGTGAGTCCCCGTGCTCTTTTCTGCGTTGGAATTGTTGACTCTATGTTTTCCCAGCAATGTCCAACTACTTTAGTGACCTGAGCGAAATGAACGAGGCTCGTTACACCGCATGCCTTCGTGTAAATAATGTGATGTGCAGCAATCCATTCCACGTGAACGTCGCGGAATGGACGCTGAAGCCCAATTGACGCAATGAGATTCTAGTCGCTATTTTCAGTCGCGACGTCGCTCCGTCTGCAAAAGCATGGGCGGTAGCTGCAATGCTCGACGTCGGTACTGAAAATCGCAAGCAGAATCGGACCAAGTGAATCAGACATGCAAGTCAGTGATGGCCACTGGTAAAAATGGTCAACATGTTCTTGTATCTACTGTTTAAGCCAAGCCTACTTACCCCAAATAACCTCCAAACTTAGAAGTCTTTTGAGGCCCGCACTTCTCATAGCAATGTTTGGTCTACTAGTCGCTGTCGTTTGAACGAGCAGACGACAGTTTGAACAACTCCGAAAGAGCAGACAACAGTCTGAATTATTAGACGGCCATTTGCATGTCATAATGTACTGAACGTGGTGCGTGGGTAATCCGGACAACTTGACGATTTTTGCCGCCCTCATGTTGAAACAAAACAAATAAACCCGACGACAACAAGTATTCGTGAATTCAACCCAAAGTGCTTTCCGCACAAGCAATCGTGGTCCGATGGTGCCAGGCATCCCTTTTCACGGCACCTATCCACATTCTCGAACAAACCGAGCAGGCGGAAAACATACAAAAACTGATCTTGACACCTTGCCAGGTACAGCCCCGTGCGCGGCGTTTTGACGAGAAGGCAGGTTTAGTCTGGTGTTTCTGAAACAACACGGGAATGGTCCGTCCCACATGGTGACTTTCACCCACAATCCCAGACCAGAAGTGCGCCCGATGCGTCACCACAGCGGCGCGACGTCAAAGAGCCAAGTTGATGTAGGGCTAGATGCTCGGAATTTGCCATGCTCCGTTTTTCTTGGGCTGTCAGGGGCTATGGAATGCACCATACACACTGCCTTAGGAAAGAACTGTAAACAAACCAAAAGCTTTGAAAAAATCTTTGCAACATGATTACGATTGACGACAGTTCTCGGCAGGAACTCAAACCGAAAGATATGACGTTTCAGTTACGGTTACCGTTTCCTGTTGACATCAGTTTATAATAAACCAATATCAACACTGATAATATATGCCATTTTATAATAAATGGTTTAAAGTAGTTTCAGATATCTAACGGGACATCCACAATAACAAAAACTTAAAAAGGCTCGAGGTACAGCTAAGCACTTCTTATGAGTTGTGAATGCGAAAGCATGAATGTCATTCTTTGCGCCACAGCCGCATCTGATCCCCTCGGCACCAAGGCCGCTTCTGATTCCCTCGAGGCCGCGGCCGCATATGATCCTCTCGGCGCCTACGCCGTTTCTGCTCCGGCACGAGCACGCAGCGCCATGGAGTGGCGCAAATTGAAACTGACACACGTTGGCTTCATATCATCGCCGTTTTGCGTGGTATTTCGCGTGGTTTCAAAGCTGAAATGCCTCAGATCGCGGCTTCGGGAATTTATCAGCCGTTTGGCGTGGCTGATGACGTCAGCTCACTCCATGAAACAGCTAATGCTTGCGCATTAAAACGTCTCAGCACTTTTAGCTGGTCAAAAGTTGCACACGTTTCTAGCTCTAACACTCGCTCACTACATCTATTTACATTATATAGTGTGATATCCAAGCATACGTTATTCCGGCACTTGGGGATCATCGCATTGTGTGTAATAAAAATTAAAATAAACATCGCTCCTTAGTTGTTCAGCAGCATTATGTAAACAACCCTTGGAAATTTCCCACTGGGTGCTGGAAGAACCATTCGCACTTTCTCGTCTCTATAGCACGGAACAAGCTGCCCAGAGGGCGTGCTGGAGCAATACTAGTAGCGCCGCACTCTGGTGCAAAAGCGCCCTCCATAGCAGTACGGGTCCGGGTGCAATGGCGACAAACAGATTAAAGGGATGCTGAACCGAAATTTTGATTCCACAAAACACGCGGTAAAAGCGTGCAACGGGATGCTACAAACACCAAAACATCACTCATACAGCGATATCTCGAACGGATGACCAAATTTTTCAAGAAAAGGAGGTGCATTTGAAAGAGATGATGTCGTCATGTTTCTCCGAGAAGGAGAGGGAATGGCCTCGTGTCTTCTCCGCCTCGCGGCCTTAAAGGGAAGATGGGGCACTTCTACATTTGAGAAAAAACGCTTGAATTGCGTTCATTTGGCCTTTAGAATAACAGATATCAAAATTATATTTCAATACGACGCGCCGGAGAGCCACAAGAGCAATTTCAAAATAGGGCTGAAGCCCCGCCCCCCTAGCCTTGGGCAGCCAAAAGAGCCGTCGATGACGTCACGGACAGCGACTGTCTTTCGCGTTTTTCTTGCGTTTAACAATACTTACGCAGCAAATGGTTTGGGTATTCGGGTTCACGGGGTAAAAATACACTAGAATTCACTTCTAACTCATTTTTTCCAAGAAGCTCCGTAGCTTCCCTTTAAGGGAGCGAAGCGAAGAGAGGAGGAAACTCGGTATCTTGACGTCACGCGCCTCGTCGGCCTGGTTCAATCTCGACCTCTTTTTCCAAAAATACGGCCATCCACTCGAGATATCGCCTTAGGAGTAGTGGTGTAGGGATTGTAGCGTCCCGCCTACATTTCCTGGATTGTTTTTCTGAAATCCAAATTTCGGTTCACCATCCCTTTAAACTGCGGTCGCGTTGCAATATTATTGTAGCTTGAGAAAAACAAATATTTTTATTTTTCGATTAATACCGGTTACCGGTAAATAATTTACAGTTACGGTTTACAAGTTTTCATAAATTTCAAATAATGATTTCGTTCCAGTTACGGTTACTGAAAAAATTTGTTCCTAAACGGTTTTCGGTTTTGGTTATGGTTTCAGTCCCTGCTTCTTGGGCGGGGGTAAAAGACAAGGTCGTTCTCACTCACTGAGGAATGCGTATCTTGATGTGAACATAGTGATCTCCGTAGCCAGACGAGTTGAGACGCTTCACCCCTTTGTTCGCCAGACGGATCTTGGTGTGAGATGACGTTCCAGCCGGGATCTGAATGAGCACAAGACAAAAATGATTACCGTTGTTGTAGTTTGCGGTCGTCGTAATGTGTGTCGAGGGATCGGCGGAAATTTCCCATGCCAAAGATAGTGACCAGCTGAAGGACAGTTGGGTTGTGCTTGCGACGCCACCTTTCAACAGGCACAGCAAGCGGTGCCTACCTTCGACTGGGTGCGTCGCCTGTTCGCTGCGCTCACCTGGAAATGGTGCCTTGAGAAAAACCTTCGCTAACTTAACCAACCGTCTGCCTACAATGTTGTGCGTCATTGACCGTGGCAAGTACGTTGGTCCCATTTTTCCCAGGGAGGTAACTAGGCACACCTTGAAATAGACCTTTTCCGAAATTTCGAAAATGCATAGATCATGAGCGGCCGCCATTAGCTCTTCATGCACTGTGAGCACGCATCTGACACGAGTGCTGCATCAGTGCCCAGCGCAAACTCGGAGCCAATCACGGGCTTCATGCCAGATGCGATGAGACAAACTAATGGCGGCTGCGCATAATCTATGCATCATTTCCCTATTTCGAAAAGGGTCCATTTCATGAGGTAAAATATGCCACTAAAATATAACTTTGATGAAGACGTGAGATTGCGGTACGCAGGCACCGATTCTTCTGGCCGATTTTAGAGCTAGCCCAGGGATTTACGCCACCTTATATATACTGGAACCTAAAGTGGCCCTTGGTTACCAATTTTAAAGCACAAATAAAATTCAACTGAAAAAGCACTACCAAGTGTACTTAATCATTCTGTATCCAAGTGACCACTTTTCCCCGGTGTGAATGTAGCAACTACTGCCGACAAAGGCCAAAAACTTGCCGCATTTTCCGGTCTACGGGTCGCCCCATTGGATAAGCTGCACCGTGTAAATACCGTGTAATCGCACGTATTGGCCGCACTCGCGCAAGGGCTGCACCCCCCCTATTGAGACCAAAATATTTAAAAAAAATATTAAAAAAATTGTTAGCATATTAGCTGCACCACCCCTTTTTCCAAGGTGCGCCAACCACTTCCGCAGTGTGCCGCCGCGCTTCGCATTTCCGCCATTTTTACTCCGCCATTTATACACCTCTGCTCGAGCTTTTTGCCATGATTTGAAGCAGAGATAAGAAACAGTATGGGAGAAAAGCTTTGGAAATCTGTACTTTTTATGGTTTTCGTATCATCCATGGCCGCCTTCCGCCCACGTGATCGTAACTGCTGGGAAATCGGATGCTCGGATTTCTGATTGTTGCCGTTGGGCTTCACGAATGTTTCCTTCCGAGAAGTTGGTTTATGCACGCCCCGCAACCTGAGAGCAGCGGGCAAGTGCTACTTTCGAACTGTCACTTGTGCCTTGAAGTGCAGCAGACACGCAACAGATTCCAAATACGGTGTCGACGAGATCTATGTACGGTGCCAGGCAAAGCTTGCAGTTCAAGGTAGGCTCATTGGCACGCCTCAGACGCTTGACGTTGGCATCGAAATGGACGTCGAGGTTGAAAATGTATGAAATAAACGGCCAACACAAACTCCGGAAAGGCACTGACTGGACAGTTCAGAAGAGCAACGCTGGCCGCCGTCGACGCCAATCGGACTCGGGCGCCGAGGACACCGTAGGTTACGACGATCGAGAACGAAATAAACGCGCTCGAGCCCACTGCTTGCAACCGCGAGTACGTAGATTTTTTTTATGCACATCCGAAACTATATTGTTTTCATATGTGTATAGGCCGCACCTAAAAAAAAAAAAAATAAATAAAAAAGTGTAGTCTTTACGCACGTTTTTACGGCAGCCATTTTCCCCCAGAAGTTGGTGTGTGTCGCATTGTTTTGTTTGGTCAGAGCAGAGTCGCTGCATCCGCGGACCTACGTCGCCACGCTACGGACCATCTCCCGGCCGCCAGAGAAGCAGGTTATACGAGGGCACTCTGCCATTCTTCCTTTCGCGTAAATGCCAATATGACCCACATCTTTCACAGTCAACGTCCCTACTTATAAAAAGCAAAACACACTTAAGCAGCACCGAAGACGTGCCAACATAAATTTGGAGGAAAGAAGCAAGACGTATACGCCGGAAAATACGATAATTGGTCGTAACAGCCTGCGCGGTTCAAAACTTTCCAAAGAGATACCTTAAGCATGATGTCGTCGTAGATGCCCTGAACACGGACCGTGCCCCCCAGGACTGCCTGAGAGAGGGTGATGCCGGCGTCCGTGTGGACATCCGGACCGTCCCGACGGAAGTAGTCACTCCGAGCCACCTGGATGGGAAGTTTACGAAGGACATGTCAGCCGTAGAAAACGACAGCGGAACGAGACAAAGTCATTTGTTGCAAGTATGAAGGCGCAGGCAGGCTGGGTTATGTCCGAGGTAGGTATTGCAATGCCACTAAACATACATTTTTTTTTTTTTTTAATGGTGGGTAGGACAGTGGTGACACTAAGTTCTTACAACAATCTCGTTGCAACTAGAGAAGTCCGTGCCAAGTGGGGCATACTTAGTATGTGTTCACGAAGAGGGTCAGGTGGACATCAAAGCACACAGTAAGGACACAAAGCACAAAAAAAAATTGTAAGGGCGCAGGCGAGCTGGTGAATATTAACCACGTTGAATTAACCTGAGACTGGGGTAGAGAAGAAACATCAAAACGTAGAAGAGACAGAAAATAGACAGGACGACGTCTCAAACTCACCTCAGTTTGAGACGCCGTCCTGTCTATTTTCTGTCTGTTCTACGTTTTGATGTTTCTTCTCTACCCCAGTCTCAGGTTAATTCCACATGGTTAACAAAACACAATGCCAATGTGAAAATGAGCTTGAATAAAAAAGGAGTCGATATATCTCTAAAACTGGAGGGAGGCAACTTGCACCAACAGCTTTGACGAGTTGGCAGCGCAATGAAGTGTAAGACGCCCCAGCAAAAACGTTTATTAAAACATCAACAAATTAGGATTTTGTCAGGCGGTCACAGTTCACACAAAGGCCTCGAACGACCGAATGGGTCCTTAACCCTTTGTTGACAAATGTTGCCTACGGGCATCAAACCACATACAGTAAAACCTCGTTAATTCAACCCCCGCTAATTCGGATAATTTGAACCGCCGATCCGGTCCCGTCAAACGTATGTATTAGTCAATGGCAACAAACGCTCATTAATTCGGAGGGAGCGCGGCGCACTATAATTAAATCAGACAAATTCTGCAGGTGGCGCTAGCTAATGTCCGTTCCAAAGGGTATGACCGCTATCCATCCGAGGTGTACACGTGGTTTTTCCGGTTTTCCCATGGTTCTTCGCTCTTCCGGTTCTCCGTGTTTCGCACCAGTTTTGCTCTGTATTGCCGTGCTTCAGCGCGTTACTCTTCTGGCATGGAAGCGGCAGAAGCATAGCTGCAACGAAAAAAGGGTAGCACAAGTGACCGACAACCGGAATGGCAAAATCCCGACACGCGGGACTATTGTTCCCGAGCGTGCCGATAGCGAGAGTGACAGTCACGTTTTATGCCTCAACGCGGGGATCCTAAAGCCTGCCATTTTAACAGCTATCTTATCCCTCCAATTTTCGCCGGCCACCCCCACATTGAAAAATGCAACGTGACAGGCACCCTCGCTATCGGCGCGCTCGGAAAAAATAGCGCCGGGTGTCGCGATTTCGCTGCTCCGATTATTGGTCAGTTGTGCTACTCGTTTTCCGTTGCAGCTGTTCTAGGCTAAGAATTTAGCGACGACAGTGGAAATACTGAGGGCCTTGAAGGACGGCGTCTCTCGACAAGTGACAGAAAGTTACGACGTTAAGAGAAGCAGTTTGGCCCCGTACGTGAAAATTGAGGCCGATATCCTTCGGGCTTTCGAGAGCAAGAAGTTCAATGCGAAAAGAAAGCGGCCTTGGAAAATGGTGCGCCCGAAACTAGGAGGCCTTCCTGTGCTATATTGTCCAAGCACGGGATGCATAGCTGCGACAGTGCGAGTGCGGTAGAGCACTCGACCGCGCTAAAGAAAGTTGCCGTCTCCACCCAACTGGCGTCCAGAAAGCAGACGGTAATAACATATTTGTTCTCAAAATAAAGGTATGTCACAGGGAACCGTTTTCGAGCAGTTTTCTTTGTCCTTTCGATATTTCGACTTCCGGATAATTCGGACATTTTTGCCGGTCCCATGAGATCCGAATTAACGAGGTTTTACTGTAATAATGTTTTAGTTTCGGTTTTGTCACTTTTAATCTAGTACTCTGGCACCAGTCTTGAAGATTGAAACTACAGCACCATCTAGTGATAAAATGTGCAAACAGTTGATGAGGAAAAAGTATGGTGCACAAATATGCGGCAACAGAGAACAGCAGAACAGCAATAAAATAGGGATAATTGTTTTTCTCTCGACACTAATATTTTACGATAGGTGACCATTTTACACGGGGCTATTATATGTGCAGATATTATTGACATTTTATTAGTGATCCATAGGGGATACGCAATGAAGCCTCTTTCTGACCTTTTTGCCTGGTGTTGCCCACAGGCCACAGAGCTATAACTTGCAAGTTTACCTTACAATTTCTCTTACTTTCATCTCTGTTCTTTCATTTGATCTTGTGAAACATTACTATCTTTAAGAAATTTTTTATATATCTAGTCACTAAAGGGTTAAAACCCGAAGTAACATCTTGACAGTGTTGTAACTATAACTGCGTCGCACAGTACCACTTACCTTGAAGGTGACGAAGAGCTCTTTCTTGCCGACCTGCATGCGAACGGTCTGGCCATCCTCCACACCTGAGAGATGCAAGACAAATGGTTTTAGAGAGTGCCCAGAGCTGCCGAGCCTCGACATTAAACGGACAAAACGTCGGCGTTTCAGTTACTTGCTCTGCCCGTCAAGCAGAACTTCCAGAACGTTTGGACTTTTCCACTTCAGGTGCACCTGACTTGGGTGCGCCTATAATGGCTAATTTTATAAGTTGAGTTTACTATAAAGGATTCCTACAGGAGACTGATGAGCTCAACCATCTTTTTCTTAACAAATATAAATATAAATGGCATACAGAAGGCCCTAGGGATATACCGTGAAACCACTGATTGGCGGCGAAAATTCGGAGAGATTCGAAAACGCTCGACAGTTGTGCTTCGGGCGCAGTGAATATGCTTTTTAACCGAACTCGCATGCAGGAGAAGATACGAAGCGACAGTGACCGCAAGCTGCTGGCAAGTTACCCCGCGAGCATCTATTCGTAGACTCTCAAACGGACGGCGGAAAGGTACCCACCGGCTGGCACAGGCACGGTCACCATCTTCCGCTGCACGGTGGTGCCCTTGGCGTGGCACTGCTGGCAAGGGTGCTGAATGTGCATGCGGGAACCGTGGCAGTGCCTGCAGGTGCTGCGCATCACGAAGGGGCCAGTGCTGATCGTCTCCTGCGCAGACGGGGCGAGGGACGTGTGATCACATGTTCCCACAGACAGCAGTGGCAATGTCGGCAAACCCGTAAAACGTTGGTTCCCAACTGGCTGTCTGGGAATGTTCCCCACAGTATGCCTGCCCCTGCCTTTATTTAAGTGTTTTTTGCGGTTTAAGCATTACTTTAGCGTTTCTGAGCTGCCCGTCAATGCACAAGTATAAGCCAACCACTTTCTAGTTTGTGCATTGCTGCTTAGAAGGTCGTTAGGCTTCTGCACAGCTTTAGTGCAGGGGTCGGCAACTGGTGGCCCACAGGCCAAACCCCCCCCCCACCCCACCCTCCCCCCACGAGCACGCACACATGAACACACACACACTCACAAGAACTAATGGCGCAAGAAACATGGTTAAATGCAGACCTTGTGTAATCGGACATATTAATTCTAAAGAAGTACACCACGGGGCTGGTTTTCTACGCACATCCACTGTATGTATCACCTATCCGCAGTTGCTGTGCACCAAAGTGATGCATTGCAAAGCAATAATTAAGGTCATCGTTTCCAGCTTAAACTGTTCGAAATCACAGTTTCGTACAATTGTCAATTTCAAGTTTCTGTCGCACACAGAGGCATTACAACAGACATTTTGGCCAAGCGACTGGTCAAAATTTTAGCACAAGTCTCGTAGGCCATCATTACAAAGAAAAATCGGACTGACAGCTTTTATTTTGTCTTTAAATATTGAAATGTGGACTCTAAGCCCTTGAAAATGATGGAGGCAGCGCCTGCGCTCTGAGAGTCTGGCAAGATACGGCGTGCAGCAGAGGGCATAACAGTTCACTTGTGTCATACCGTTCATATTCGGAAGCTGATCACATCCCCCCCCCCCCCTGATTTCTTATACGGCCCTCTCCGTGTTCGTTTTGCGTTGATTTGCAGAAAACATAAAATGAGAAAGCTGTTTTGGACTCAGAAAGCCCATAAGAGGATAAACCTACCAGAAACAACATCACAAACATGTCACACAATATTCAAAAACATAGCGATACGTGGGGCTGTAGGTGGTCTTCGCTCTGTTTGCTTAGACTTTTGTTCCTGTTTTGCAGTTTAACCAGTGTGCTTGGTTAGCACGATGTCTCTTATAGCTAAGGTTTTCGACATCCGTTCACAAAGTTGGTTTCCGACACGGGGGATCTTTTTGTCCCAATGCCGGCGCCCAAGGCATGCAACGACAAGGCTGGTACAGGGTAATCGGAAAAAGCTCTGCAGAAAAATGTTGACTTTGGACTGTACGCCCTGCCATAGCTCTCACAGCATCCCTCAGAGAGCGTTGTCTGAACAACCAGGGCAAATAGACACCAATGATCGAAGCCTACCAGCTCAAGGTCATAGTCGGGGAGGCGGAGGTGGTAGCCCTTAAAAAAACATACAATTGTCGGCTGCTTTGCTGTACCCTTTTTATTTCTGGCAACCTGCGAATTCGCGCTCGTGACCCTGCTAACAGCTGACTCTACTCCGTGTCACTAGTTGTGTGCAGTGCAGGCAAAGGCAACACCAGACAAAGAGAGAAAGGGCAAGCACTAGGAAGGCGGGACAGGAAAGGAGGGCAATGGAGTGCGAGGGGAGAGAGGGAAAGCACTAAGAACGTTCCAGAGGAGAGGTTTCTCGCCTCGTCCCCAGCCTTCCTAGTGCTTGCCCTTTGTCCCCTCACCTGGCATCGCCTTCGCCTGTACTGCACGCAACTAGTGACAGGGAGTATAGCTATCTCTACCCTCCCTCAAAAATAATGAAAAAATGACAATAACTACAACAACAAAGCTGAGCTTGAGAGGTGCACAGACTGAATGCTTGGATCTTGTGGAGTACCCCATTGAACTACAGACATGTATACCATTGGTGGTACGCAGATGACCCCACAACATGAGCCACGCCATGTTTCATGTGCGCTTCTATTTTGATTGAATGCATACAGGAAGTCAGAAAGCTTGCACGCCATCTTCGGGCCAACTTAAATCGTAGAGCTGTTTTAATTCATACAATTTCGACTTGCTTCTGAAATTTGGTAGAGATTTATTTCTGTTGGTATCAATGTTTTAACTTTAGACCCGCTTTTGCAGATATGTAATCGCAGGGTGTATGACGCCCTTTTGCATTAAATTACTTGATTTGATATGAGATGTATTGTATTATATGCTGTAATATAGCTTGATTTCCCCTCTTAAATACACCCTGTGCAAGTTAACAAAGTATGGCAAAAGCAAAAAAGGCGAACCATCAAATGTTCAAGATACGCTGGGCACGGGCCGTGGTCGTACTCATGTTTAGAAACCCAGTCGGACTGGGGCCAATGTTTATTAAGAAACCTGTCGGGCTCAAAATTTTAAGAACCGGCCATGGTAGGGCTTGTGCTTAGAAAACTTGTCAGGCTCGGGCCGATTCTTTACTGGGCTGGGCTGGGCCGGGCCTAGAAATTCCAGCCCATGCAGTACTCTAGCGCGAGCGTTCCATGCTCAGGGGCCGTGTGAACTGCCGCGACCCTGGCAGTGACCCAAAGGAGATCCTCACCATGCCGCTGCCGTTGCAGTAGGGGCATCGGACGGCGCGGCTACCAGGCTCGCTGCGGGACCCCTGACACCGTGGACATGTGTCGACGACGTTCACGTTGACGTCCTTGTTCACCCCACGGGCCGCTTGTTGGAAGGTCAGATTCAGAATCACCTGCGGCGATCACCCAAACAATTTCAATTTGGGCAAAGAGTTGAGAGGGGCAGGTCAAAGAAAAACCTGACCCCTTTCCCGCACTATTGTGGCGAAGGCTGCGGTAACCTCAATACAGGTGGAACTTGTCATTTGAAAATGCCACAGAGTCGTTTGTGTCAAACCAAACGCACTAAAACGAAGTAGCCATACAGCAGCAATGACCACATGTTCAAATATTCATACTTCATTCGGACCATTGAACATTAGAATTCTCTCGGGGAAGAACTCGTCCAAGTTACGGAAGCACAATCATCTGAGGACAAACTGACTTATTACTTTCGTAACCTCAACTAAAAGTGCATTGTTGTCAAAACCAAGATACTGGAGCCTCAAAAGCTGCGACGGCACACTTTCTTTTCTTAGATTTTCTCGCTTATAGGACTCATAATTTAAAACTCTAAGAAGCCACAAATTTTGTTTGAATTACAAGAAATTTATCTAAATATGATGCAAGATAAAATATAATTTACCATATGAATAGATACACATAAAAGCAGATATTTGATGATTTCCTCTACATAGGCCTACTGATCATAAGTAGGTACACCACACATGAAACATATCTGAAACATATGACATATATTAATTTATCCCTCCAAGAATGCTCTTCATCGTGGACTGTTTAGGCAGCACATGACAACTAAAAACAAAATTAAGTTGCCATGAAAATCTCCGTGTGGTGCCCGTTTTTATAGCTTACGCTTGAGCCCCGTTGAGTGCATTTCTCATCAAGCACCGGTGCACTGCTGAGAAGCAACACCTGCGAAAGCAAGCTCTGCGGCTGCTGCCCCTCTGCAGTGCACCGGTGCTCGGAGTTGCTCAATCCGAACCCCGTTCGAAGTGAGCGGCTTAGGAATACATTAAAAACACAACAGAACAACCAAAGTGGTGAATTTGTTGGAATTAACCAGAAGTATGAAATATCAGAGTTTGAATTACCGCAAGCCTACTATCTTGCTCTTGTAAGTGATACTAGTATTGCTTTAATCACCGTTATTTACAGCTTGTGCACTTGCGAGTTCTACACTGTGTTGCTGAGAATTTTCTGTCTGTACACTTCTGTATACTGTCATTACGTCATAAGATGATGTTGAACATTTTTTTTGCATCTGTGCAGTGCTATATCACAATTTCTGTTTTTAAAAGTGTAACCCTCAGGGGCCCAGGAGAGGCCGGCAGTATTTCATATAAATAAATGAACAAAAAATTATTGTGCGCTGTTGGGGCCCACAGTTTGTGCCACCACAGCACAAACGTCGCTGTGCACGGTGCCTAGCACTCCAACAGAAGTGGACCTCCTCGTCTGCTTTCCTGGTGGTTGCACGGCCCCGGTTTTGACACCAATATTTTGCGCCTCCCCATTTCCTCCGAAGCCTATAGTCTCAGTAGTTGTGCACAGTACTGCGGAAGCCACAGGCAGGAGAAAGGGGCAAGCCGCTTTTGTACGAATCCCGAATGATGTGCTGGTCTCCGAGGGTTACCAAGGTGAGGGGGGGACAGGGCACAAAGGAGGGCACAGGTAATAAGGGAGCTTCTCCTTCCCCTCCAACTGCTCACGCTGCACTCTCACCCCTACACCTTTGGTAACACCCTGCTCAGCTAGTGAGATAGAGTATCAACGATAGTCTCGTAATACTGAATTTTCTGAGTCATCTAAAGGATGCCAGCCCCGTGCACAGCTGAGCATGACTGCAGCGTTGGCGTTCAGCTGGAACTCACGCTCGACCGGTAGGGACGCCAGTTCCAGCTAAACACTCACGCAGAACTCGCAAGATGCTCTTCCGTCACAAGAGTGAGCGATGGGAAGTGACTAGAGGCCAGCCACATCGCACGTCCCGTGCTAGGAAGTCCCCCCGTCGGCCGCGACGTCCAACTTCGCCACTCACCTCCTGCGCTCCGCCGAAGCCGAACTGGGATTCTGAGAAGTCGAAGTCCGAGAATCCCGTCCGCGACCCCAGGTCGCCGAAGATCTTGCGGAAGAGTTCTTCGGGGTCGATGGTGGAGTGGAAACCTCCCGGACCCCAGGTGCCTTGGGAGCCCGCTCCGGCACCCGCTCCGGCTCCCGCTCCTCCGGGGAAGTCCGACGTTGTGCCCCACTGGTCGTACTGCTGCCTCTTGGAGTCATCGCTCAGTATCTGCGACGGCGCGGGTCTCTTTTCAAGCGTACCGAGGTTTGTGCCAAAGGACGCGGAGACAGAAAAAGCGAGAGGCAATGTGGGACGAAGCATACTTTCGGCAAAAATTTTATTAGATGGCACACATGAACATTGCAAACTGCACATGTACATAGGAAAGACACCCAGTTAAAAAAACACAAAGTAAAGAAGCCAGACAACACTAATGCAAGACTGAGGCTTTTTTGATACAGGCATGATCCTGATCAGAAAGGGCCATCGAAGAAGCGCACACACAGACGTCGCTCTCGTGCTATGTAATCATAAAAGCTTCACGATTTGCGCTCTAGTTTTCTTTTGAAGCTCCCCACCACTAAACTGAAACAAAGCACCTTGACTAAAATGCATGCGGTAGTCAAACGCTTTTATGACAGACGCCTGTATTATGAAAATGCCCGTTTAATGAAGCATAAACAAAGTCCCAACCACTCTCCTATGTGGTCAATGTGTTCCTCTGACTACTACAAAAAATTCCCGTTGCACAGTCTCACAAAGCAAAAATGATTGGTATTACAAATTTTCTAGGTCAATAATACCATATTTACTAGCATAATGAACGCGCCCCCTACAATGCTTCAATATTATGAATTTTTTTTGTTTTTTTTTCTTGTATAATGAAAGCATTTCTAATATTCGGCCCCGCGAGTCCCGAACTGCGTCCAACTCGGTTAGCCACCAAGCTCACCAAGCCAATTTTCTTTTGCCGCCAAGTGGCCAGGCCAGGCCAAGCCAAGCGTAGCAGTACACGCACTCGTAGCAGCAGAAAGTGCGTAATTGCGGAAGTGATTGACGGTGAAACCAAGCGGAGTGCACAACTAACAAAGCTGGAGTCGAGGAGTTGCCCAGCCCCGGAGGTGCTTCGCCCATCGGATGCATCGATGTCGACAACATGCCGTCGTCTGTGGTCCGCTTTCAGGCAGTGAAATCGTGAGAGTGGTTAGGCCTAAGAACGGTCGCGTCGCTCACCGTGCTCAGTGAGCTTCGTAGGGCGCTTTTCCTTCGGCAAAAGGCACGCCGAAAGCACCCTAAAAAAGGTTAGTAATTTCTAGAGCATGGTTACTGTGGCACAACCACGACTAGTCGTGGGTGCGCCTTTGTCAGTAGAGACGTGCCACAGATGGCATTTAAAATTACATTTGTGCGAAGTGTCTAGGTGCAAAAATTTTAGACCCGTATTCGCGACTCCAGCGACCTATAGGGGGCGCCACCACCAAACAAACATGGCGGCTGAGTCCAGGTCGCGGAGGCTCGGCCGGGCCGCCTGAACAGGTGGCGCGTTCAATTTAACATATTTTCTTTTGTTTAATGCCCAATTTTATAGGTATTTGAACTGAGACGGTTAAAGTGTAGCCGGTACAGATAAACTTGCAAAGCATAGTTTTGTTTTGCCGGTGTTTTTTTGTTCTTTTCGTGTCAAACTTTCGTTTCGGAGATTTCGTTCCAAACCGAAACTATGGGCTCCGGAGAGACGGTTTTGATCATCTAAGGAAAGTGGCGATGACTATAGAATTGTTCCACAGAGAGTAACTTTTCAGCTAGCTCGCATGCCTCGACCATGCGACTTTTCTGTCCGCGAAATCGAGCTTTTGTGCGTATCCGCGTTTACGAAACAGCTTCAGTCGTCTGCTCGGCCAACAATATAGGCTGCAGGAAAATTACGAAAATTAAACAACCACTTCTTGAGCCAAGGACCATGTTAACCCGCCGGCGCCCCACTAAGCAGCTGTTACTCGTATCTCAATTGAGGTTTTAGTAGCAACCGAGAAGTCATTTTGACGAGCGGGTTATGTATTATATTACGTACTATGGTCCCACTAAAGCGGTATTAGTATATTCTTCGGGTTGAAATATGAGCTTAGTTGACTAGCTATTAGGTGAACTGCTGAATAAAAGTATATTTGACAGACAGAGAGATACTACTTAAACTTAGCCAAATGGCTCTATAGCCGGCAGCACGGAGACAAACTGAAGAGAGTTTTCATTGAAGATCCACGCAGAACCTCTCTGCATTGAACTTTGCTTTGAATTCTGAATGGAGAAAATTAGTATTTTTTTTTGTGGCCGGTCAACCTGACCAATGTAGACGTATACTGCTGCTGGCTTCGACGTCCTCGTAATATAAATATTGGAGGCGCGATAGGTCAAAATGCCGTGACAGCATCTAACGTTGCGAGACTTGTCTCCCACCTTTTGAAAACAAATAATTTCCCTCATTCATCATTTGCAGCGAGCAAGTTTTCCTGAATCAAGTAATTGCGAAATCAGCCGAACTCCTTCAGTGTGGTGCAGAGACTTTTTCGGCGAAAAGCAGCCAAGATGAATAGCCAACGCACCGGCCGGCGTGGGTGGCTCAAACTTGAAGCTAACCGAACACAACCAAACTCAAGAAAAGCAGCTATCGAACCTTCCCATTCACTTGACTGCAACATTGATGTTCCCTCCAGTATCAGTTACCAAGCAGTCATCACTTTGAATGTGATTCGAGACAGAGAAGAAATCAAAAAGTTTTTCCGTGATTCCTCCCCATCCAAGAAATCGAAAGCACGCGACCGTGTGCTGTGGAGTAAACGGGCTTTGAAACACATAATATAAGAAAACAATCTACTGAGACCACACTAATGATCACTCAGGCAAACTTATGCAATATTCGGACCTTCGTCAAATTACATTGTTCGCCACCGCGCCGACAACACGTCTCCGCGAAAGCCACCAGAGACGCGGAGGAGCGCGGAGCGACCTGGACCGGCTGGTTCCCGGTTTTCCCACTTGGCGTCGTCCGTTTTGCTGGAGTCGCGAATAATGAACAAATATCTGCAGATTTTTCGAGAAAAAAAGTGTGTTCATTATGCGAGTAAATACGTTAATCGATTTCATGTAACGGTTGCTCACAAGTGACGCGCATAGAGAACAGAAATACTGAGGCAGCGGCAACGGTTGACGCAGCTGCCGCGCCCCTTCGCAGTGCCGTGCCACACCCCTCTGCTGTTGCCGCACATCCTCAGTTTTGGGTTCAAATAATTTGTCAGTGCGATGCAATGTTCATAACATAGTAATCTGTGTAACAAAAAATTTGCATGGTCCCGGAGGCTTTGTTCTAAAGGCGTTTGACTGTATCCACGAGAAAAGCTACTGGTGGTCACGGAATTCCGAAATAAGCCATACGTCGAAGAGAGCCCCAACTCCGCCCGAACGCAATACGAGCTGCAGAGATCAAACGTTAGAAGTTTCTAGAATACGTGCAACCAGGCATGTAGCCAGGGGGGCGGCCCATGGGGCTCGGGACCCCCCCCCCCCCAAAATCTTCTATTTTGCTGGGACCTCCTCTCCGCCCTCCCTCTCATACAGCATTTTGTTATGGGCGGCCCCCCCCTCTTCCCCCGAAACAAAATCCTGGCTACGTGCCTGCGTGCAACTTAGATGGAAAGTTGGAAGCAAGTTCCAGGTGTTCCCACGACAAATCAGCACCGACCCCACGCACTCGTGTGTTCGACTATACTCCGCTCTCCCCTAAGCTCGAACTGCGGTAGAAGTTCCCAAGTCATACGCCTTTCTTTCATCACGTGATCCTACTCTTGCCATACGCACATGCAGAGCTGGGTCAGGTGATGAAAGGGAGCCGGCCGATTGGTGTGACAAGGATGTAGCTCCCACCGCAGTCTCACCTTAGGGGTGAATGGAGTATAAATCACATTTTCCCACTGAACTTTTTTTTTTAGTTGATTGCATCTTTTGAGCTTGTACCTAAAACCGTTTGAATGGGAAAGCTGCAATCATAAAAAAAAGGTGGACCTGCGCGACACCGGTGTCTATCACATTCCTCTTTATGCCCTCGTCTTCTTTTCTGCCGGTGTTTTGGCCGACTTTTGTTCGCTCATTTCAAGCAAAAGGTGACTTGCCTCATAGGCTTCAGAGACCTCCTGGAACTTCTTTGCTGCTTCAGGGTCCCCCTTGTTAGTGTCTGGGTGGTACTTCTTTGCGAGCTGATCGAGGAAATGTTGAGGTAGGTTAGCTCATAGGCTTGTCGAGATGCCTAAACAACAAACAATATATTTTTCTTTTTTTCCTTGGGTCACATTTAAAATTGTGCGATGTCTTGGAGAATTGCCAAATTCTATTGGGCTACATTTAAAATTGTGTGATGTCTTGGAGAATTGCCAAATTCTATTTGAAACCATGGGGGATTTATAATTTCAGTCGAAAGTGACCTTCACAACTAGTTTTGGCTGGGTATGGAATAAAAATAAGAAGCAAATGAAAATGCTTTGGTCGATGGAAAGGTTGCCAAGACAACATCAGTGGAGTCTTAATGCTACAATGCGCTACAGCTGTCTGCATTATTGAAAATATGAGGTAGCACGTTGCATTGCACCTGGAGGATCTTAGGAGGCACTACACCCCCAGTGTTTTGTACTGCATTTATTTTGTGCCACCCTACAACGTTCCCAACGGGATTAGTAGCTTCGTAAATAAATAAATAAATAAGTGGCCACTGGCCTGTCAATAAAAAGGGGAATGTTTTCTCCAACCTCTGTCCTTGAACTTCGACAGATTATTAGGGTCAATAAACTACAGGGTGTCCCCAAAGAAACATTTGATCATTTAAGAAATTGTTTTTTTTTATAAACAAGCCAAAAAATAAAATCCAATAAATCTTTCCACAAAGACGTCCTTAGGTTGTACTAGAAAAATCCTGTCATGCCTGCACCAAGGGAGGAAAACGGAAACAAGCCGTCTGGTCGATGCCGCTACTCAGCCTAGTCACAGATAGTACTTTGCACGCTCGGATGTGCTGGATCTGCTTTCGGGCGTTCATCTCAGAAAATGCGTTTACATATCTGTTTCATGTTACATCTGCGAGTTACAGCGTTCACATGACGATTTGTTATCGATTTCGTCCTTCTGCATAGGAAAAGAAAGATTTGTTTTTTGTTTCCATTTTCTTTCAAAAACCTACACTCGTGAAGTTTGACTATGATAGCTGCACCAACTAAAGTAACCTCTGTGAAAAGTTTCATCGCAATCCATTCATTGGCTTATTTAGGCGAATTTGTTTTACGCCCAAACAGCGCACCTGAAGCACCCTGTATATACTAATAACGATCGTTTGTATCTGTGATTTACCATTCATTTTATTTAAGCCTTTTCTCTGTCATCCGGGTTATTATAACCAAATAAAACATTACATTACGTTCACCCACTTAGCAGCGTGCGAGGCCAGACAGGAAGGTGAGGAGGAACCTGACACAAGTGCGCCTGTTAGCACGCCGCCGAGTGGGCTACGTACTAACGTTTCACCGCCACGAGAACTTTAAGACAAACGCCATTTGGTACACATTAGGTAATTGTCGGTATGAGACTTTTTTTCTGGATGATGTTCTTTCACCTGGTAGTACGCCTTTTTGATGTCTTTTTGATTGGAGTTTTTGGGCACGCCAAGAACCTCGTAGTAGTCCCTCCTGCACAGACTAGACGATGCGTGGAACTGACGTATCCGCTGGTTCGCCCCCGCATACTGTAAAGTTTTGCCTGTTAGAAAGATACAGAGAAAGTAGAAAAAAGAACCCGTAAAGGTCGACTTTTCATTTGTTTGTTCGTTTTTTCACGAGGGAGTGCAACACTTGCAAAAGTCACGGATGGTGGTCGAGGGCTCACCGGCTTCGAATGATGCAATCGGACGGGAGACTCCGTTCAGCTTCGTGCATACCACACAGCAGCGAACCAACCGAGCAGGAACGCGAACTGTAGCGAACATTGTCATAAATTCATGCTAGCTATCCTGAATACCTTGGATTTCAGACGGCCCCGAAAAGCATGTGGCGAACTCGCGAAGAGCCCAGAGAGTTCGCGAGCTACAGTTGCCAACCGAGTCGAAGGCTAAAGCCGCTGTCGGCGGGCAAAAGTGAACGCTTTTTTTTCTCTCTTTCTTTTTTTCTCGTAAATGTTTTGCGTTACTTTATTTTTGTAAATATGAAATTAAATATATGCTTTTTGGCGACGTTAAATAAAAATGGGTACGATATGTTGTAAACTTAACGGTGGCATTTCGCTTTTCTTTTTATGGAGACCACAGTAAAAGCCACTGGAAAAAGCGAAACAATTACTTCGTGCTAAAAGTAACAAAGAAATCAGAGAAATCGAAGCCTTCCATAAAATGCAACCGAAAATGATAGGGGCGACCAAGACCAAACATGGTATTCTCTGTTAGTAACACTGTGCGACAGGTTTATCGCGGATGTCAACAAAACAAATCCGGCACCGGCGTTACGGCGTTACTACGGTGGGCGTTACCTCTCCTATTTTTTCCTCGAACGACGGGCAAACTACGCCGTTTAAACCGCCCAGTCCCTCTACGACCGCGGTGTCCCATCCTCAGTAATGGAAACGATTCGCAGCCACTGGCGTGACAGTGCGGGCTGGAAGGCTGCCGGACTTCCGCTGACGACCACGAGCGACGAAGCCTGCAAGCTGTACGACGCTGCCATCACACAGTACGTGGGATGGTACGACGACCCCGCACTCGGCGGTCTGTCCGCCACAGTGTCGAAGATACGACAGGCCGACCCGGACTTTGTCATGGGACAGGTCCTGGAGACGGGCTTAACCCTGATCGGCACAGGTGAGTCCGTGTCCACAAGCGAGGTCCTCCGCAAGGACGTGGCTCGACTGGCTGCCATCGCGAAGGAAGGTTGTCCGTCGCGACGGGAGCGTCTCCACGTAGATGCCGTGCTGGCGTGGTCTCGTGGTCGGATGTCAAGAGCCGCCGCTCTCTGGGAAGACATTCTGATCGACGATCCTACCGACATCCTGGCGCTGAAACTGGCCCACGACAGCTACTTCTACCTCGGTCTGCAGCGCCAGATGCGAGATTCAGTGGCGCGCGTTCTGCCGCGCTGGAAAAAGTCGACGCCGCTCTACAGCTACCTGCATGGCATGCTAGCGTTCGGTCTTTGTGAGACCAACCTGTACGATCGGGCGCGCAAGTCCGCTGAACTGGCGTTGCAGATGAACCGCAACGACGCTTGGGCGACTCACGCCATGGCGCACGTGTACGAGATGCAGGCTGATCCGGATGGCGGAATTGCGTTCATGAGTAGGACCCTGGGCGACTGGGAACCGTGCGGTATGCTGGCGTGCCATAACTTCTGGCACTGGGCGGTGTTCCACGTAGAAAAGGGCGAGCGTGAAGCCGCCTTGGATCTGTTCGACGGTCAGATGATCCGTCGCCTGGTGTCTTCGGGGGCAATGCTGGATTACGTGGATGCCTCGTCCCTCCTCTATCGGCTCCAGTTGGGAGCGGACGTGAAGGAAGACCTGAAGAGCCGATGGCCGTGTGTCTGGAACGCAGCCAAGCCGCATCTCAATGACCGAATACTGGTGTTCAACCAGCTCCATTTCCTGATGGCCTGCCTCGGGGTCGGAGCATCCACAGACCAGCTGCTCGCTGTGTCTACTAGTGACATGTCTGGCAAAGGGGAGGTAAGCTTTCCTTTTGCTTTTCCTCTCCGAAGAAAGAAAAAGCTGCTTGCTGCTTTGGCCATCCTACCATATATCAAACACAAATCATATTGGTCGCTTTGTCGAACAGTCGCTGACAATGCTGGCCACAGGAGCAAATTCAAAGGGGCAAGAGGAAAGCGAAAACCAAAGCACGGACCAAAAAGCTGGTGGGTAAAAAGGTCAAGGCAGCCATAGCACGACACCAAGAGGTATCTAGGGGGCACAGGTGGTAAAAGAAAAGGGGGACCATCCCAGCAGAAGTATCTCCTCAAAATGAGAGAACTTCCAGGAAAGGAAAAGGTAGGCACTAGCTTTAATACACACTAAAATTGGGAGCGCAGGAGTACAGTGGATAATAGGGGTAAGAAAAAAAGAGAGGAATGTGGCAAAAAGGTTTTGGGAGCACATCAAGGTACAAAAGAGAATGGCAGAGGGGTGCCAGCACTTGCTGACCACACAGGAGGGGAGAAAGGTAGAGGAAGTAGAGGATCGAGACAGACAGACAGACGTTAGGCAGACAATTAAAAAGGCTTTTTCAAAGCTTGAGCAGAGGGCGACAGTGGAGAGCACTAACAGTAGCAGGGTACAGGAAGATCAGACTAGTGTAACAATGGAGGTGACCATAAGAGAATGGGACAAGGCAGAAAGTAAATTTCAAACAGGTACAGCAACAGGCCCAGATGACATACCCATGGGGCTCATAAAGATCCTGGGGAAAACAAGCATATTGAAATTGAATGTGATTAACCAAAAAATTATTGGCAGAGACTTAACCAACAATTTGAAACTAAGCAAAATGAGACTAGTATATAAAGGAAAAAGAAACAACATCAAGCCGTACTGTTCGATAACTGTAACATCAGTTTTATACAGCTTAGCCATGCAGATAGTTAAGTCAAGGAATGCAAATTCTAAGCAAGCTTCAAGATGGATTATGAAGGCTCAAAGATAGCCTGTTCGTCATACCCTACGGTTAGCTTATTTGGATGTCAAGGGAGCATGCAATGATCTGAACCAGAAAAAACTACAAGGCAGTGTCTACATCGCCTTCTCACTTACGTGCAATCCTTTGTTAGCATCCATTGCACAGCAGAAGTGAGCCCAACAAACACAACACTAGCGTTTAGTTGCGTGGAGAAGCACCAGAGAGAGGGTGACAAGATGGTAAGTGATGAAGGGCATTACAAACTGCTCTGAATGATTATATTAGGTAGTGAATACCACAAAAAATAATGCAATAAATTGAGCACATAATTTAATGTCTTCTTCAAGTTCTAGAGGTTGTAAAAAAACTGTAACTTAGAATTTAAATGAAAACCAATGCACTTTTCATTTGATTATGAACGTGAATTACATTGTGTGTGTAGAACTTTATAGCAAAAACGGCATGTAAACGAAACGGTTCTTGCCAAGCTTCCATTCACTGCTCCTGCCAATCTAGTTCTAATTTGCTCGCATCTATATAAAAGTGACAGAAACAAATAAGTTGGCGTAAATAAATAAACATACACAACGTGCATACAAACGTTCATGTAATACTGAACTATCCTTGCAAAATTTCTAATCGGGAAAAGGTACCGCCAGGATAGCGCAGTCTATTGTGTCGTGTCTCGCTCTGGAGGAGTGCTTTCCCCTTGGCACGGGTGTGCACTGCAGCGGAGCAAGACGCAAAATGGCGATGCCTACTCGCGCAGGCGGGCCGGACAGAATAAACGATAATAATCCATTCTCCAGGAATTATTATCGTTAATGCCTAATACGCAATTTTCGCTTCACTGCAGTGCACAGTGAGGAGCGTACTCAGAGACTAACTAAGAACAGACGACAAACATGAAAATTCTCGCCAAACTTCCCAGTACTGTCAATCTTTCATACGAAATGCGATCGAATAGTACGTTCTTTGAGACGATAATCAAAAGTTCTAAAAACTCGCATAAGCATATCGTACCGGTCTGGCCGAGCAGCGAGGCCTGAGCGTTTATACTTTCAGTGTTAGTAAGGTGAAATGAAGTTTTGGCGCAACGTTGGCGCAGATTCCTCTCATTTTGGTGAAATGTAGCAGGGTAAGCAGTTTGGCGCAGATGGCGCAGCAATCACATCGCTGGTACTGTGCCTGAGATCAGAGGTTCAATCAGAATTGGAAATTCGACAAAGGAGCGTGGGCAGGTTAGCACTGGGAGTGCATGGGAATGCACCAAACGAGGGGGTGCAGGGGGACATGGCCTGGTTGTCCTTTGAGGGCAGACAAGCAATTAGTGAACTGAAATTTAAAAAAAAAGGTTAACTGAAATCCATGATACCCGGTGGGCACGAAAAGTATTTATACATTAAAAGTTTAAACACAAAATGGACAAACACAACCCGCAAGCTGACAAATGAATACCCGCACACTAGTGGTGGGGCTGAGCAGACTAGTAGTTCGGTGAAAAAGGGAGTAAAAGATGCAGAGAGCAAAATGTGGAGGGAAAGAACGCAAGAAAAGTCTGCTTTAACTATGTGTAAGTCACAAAAACAGGACATAAGAAAGGAAAACGTGCTTGATGATTCACGTAAAAGTTTATTGCTCTTCGCGTCGAAAACGGGAGTGTTAATTAAGGACAAAGACTTATAAAGCTACATTTCAAGAGATAGACACATTATGTGCCGTGTGCCATTGTCAGGGTGAGACACTAGAACATTTCGTTTTTAAAGGGATGGTGAACCGAAATTTGGATTTCAGAAAACAATGCAGGAGCTGTAGGCGGGACGCTACATTCCCTAAAACACAACTCGTAAGGCGATATCTCGAATGGACGGCTGTATTTTCGGAAAAAGAGGTCGAGATTGAACGAGGCCGACGAGGCGCGTGACGTCAACATATTTCGTTTCCTTCTCTCTTCGCTTCGCCCCCTCAAGCCGTTCCCTCTCTTTCTCGGAGAAACAAGACGTGAACATATCTGTCAAAAACGCCTCCTTTTTTTTTTTTTTTTTTAGAAAATACGGTTATCCGTTCGAGATATCGCTCTATGAGTGATGTTTCGGTGTTGGTAGCATCCCGTTGCACGCTTTTGCCGCCATGTTTTGTTGAATTCAGATTTCGGTCTCACCATCCCTTTAAAGGAGCTGAGTTACAATTTTAGTGCTCTGCTTAAATAAAGTGGGAGTTGGTGTCTCGGCCTTTCTGAAACAAAAAAACAACAAAAAAAACGCTTTTGCCTGCACGTTCTAGTTCTTATTTTAAAACTTTGCAAACATTAAGGTTTCCGCCACCTCTTAACTCCTTCACCATCTTCTGAGTCACATGCGCTCTGACGTGAATGGGGACGCGCGGGGTTCCGATGAAACTCTCTCTCTAGAGCCGTAAGTGAGCAGCGAGAACTTACCCGCTCGCTACCACGTGCTTGCGCAGCGCGATCAACACGGCGAAAGGAGGAAAGTCTCGTCCGGGACCGGCCCCCTCCGGCTTTGCTCCCGTCCCCCTCCGGCTTCAGGTGGCTGTTCGCGGTAGCAGACAGAGTTGTCGACCTTGCATAGATGGCGCCACTAAAACTTCGTATAATAAGAGTTTTGTCGATGATACCAGATTTTTTACGCATTTATATTTATGTTGGAACGACAAGATAAATAGAAAAGTTACCTTTTATCGAGCAGGTATTTGCACAACTTGCTATCTTTTTACAAGTCCCCCATTGACGTCACGCCGCGTGGTTCTCATGGCCGCCGCTCGCGGCTGCAAGTCGGGAAATATTCTAATTTTTGCCTCGCGATTACGCGGCGGAATCGCAACATTTTGAAGGAAGGAGATGTGTTTTCTGCCCTTTGTGACAAGACAAACAATGTAAAAAGTAGAAGATGCAAATTCTTTCGACGTTAAAATCGTTGCACGCTCGCCCTGCGCTTTCTGAAAGGGGGAGGAGGAGGAGAAAGAGAAAATTATTAGTCACAAAGAGGAGATTAAAAGATTGTTGGAAATTATGCAAGGAAAATTGAATGAAGTAAAACTAACTAACACAGCTGGGGACAGGCGGGGCAAAAAAAATGGGACCCCCCCCCCCCCCCCCCCCCCACCCACCCCACCGCGCTAGACTTCGGCCCAAAGTCTCAACCTTAATTGTTTCCTAGTGGCCCGGTGTTGGGTTAGCGCCGACTAGGTTTGACCAGAGGAAGGTCGGGGGAAAAAAAAAGGGGGGGGGGGGGGGTTGTTTTTCCGTCTGATCCCCGTAATGTCATCCTCGCGATATCACACACTGCCCGGTGATACCTACAAATGTGCAGGGCGGAAGCCCTGCACTTTTGTGGCTTGGATGTGCGAGGGGAGGAAAAATACTTTCGGTTTCTAGGGGCGCAAGCTGCCGCCTATTATAAAGGGCAGAGCCATTAGCATCCGTCCATCCAACCCATCAATCCGGGTACAATCTGGAATCCACGTCCTGAACCCCCTCCCCTCGCCTTTGGAAACACCTGCACCCGACCCTGGCTAGCCATACTGCTTTATTTTGCATTGGGTGTCTACTTGGTATTTGACGAGTCTCGCACCATACGACTAATATTAAAATCCTTTTAATCCTTGAAAAAATAAAAATTCTGGTTAGGCTCAGAGTGCATCAGTGTTGAACCGGGCGAGTTGATAATCGTTTAACACGATAAGAATAGCAGTTATAGCTACAAAAAAAAAAAAAAAGGAGCACGAAAGAAACACTTGGAACAGGACAAACTAAACTTTATTACTTGAAAAGAAAAAAGAAAGACGAAAAAAAAAACCATCACTATCAGATAACGTTGTGTGCACACAACGAAACGCCCCATACGTGGCCTTTATCGTCAGCGGCCACGTGTATTTCTTTGTCCAACGGAGCCACTGACGGCTCGCTGACACATCTTGTCCCTAGGCAGGAAATAAAGTTAAGCCAGTGTCAGTCTGAGTGTATCCCCAAAAGGCGCTCGAACGCACCGATCGCCTGAGGCTGTGCATCATCCACGCAGGACGACGGATGGCCGGCGGACCAGCAACTCGCCGCCTCCCAGGTCGGTCTTCCCGTGATGCAGGCCATGGTAGCCCACAGCGAGGGCCGATTCGGAGACGCTGCCGAACAGCTCGCGGCCGTCCGCTACGACGTGCTGCGCATCGGTGGGAGCGACGCACAGAGGGACGTCTTCGACCTGCTGCTTCTGGACTCGGCCATGCGGTCGGACAGGCACAACCACCTGGCCGAAGCGCTGTTGGCCCAGCGCAGCATCGCGAGGCCTAAATCTCCGATGCTGCAGACCATGGCCGAGACGTTCTCCAGACGTCGTGGTCCAGCCTCTTAGAACGTCGTGGTTAATGTATGACAGAGCGTACAGGGTGCTGCATAAACGCTATTCAATCGTAAAAAAAATAAAAAGAACCGCAGTGTTTGTTTTGGGTATTCATCATATCAAAGAAGCTTTCAATTCTGTGAGTAGCAGCACAACCGGAAGGTTTGGCCGCTTTCCTCCCTGTGCAAAGAAGAAGAAAAAAAATTGTTTTCGTTGAGCTTTTTATCTATTATGACTCACCAACTGACCCAAATTTCAACCCTATTCCTTTTTTTTTTTTTTTACACGCGAGTAACTTTTGGAGATATCTTGTAGAGTAGCTGGATGGACGAATAGTACGCGTTAATAAAGTGCCTTAGTGTGTACGTACCTGTCTTTAGGTGATGGCATCGGGGTCTTTTTTGTCATACTGTTCTTTGTCTCCTTTATCCTGGAGCATATGTGAAAGGGCGCATGTCTTCCTTTATTTTATCATTTTCGATTTGCGTTTATAGTCGGCTTCGCGGTCTGGTTCCACAAAGAATGGCACCGGAAGGAACGTAAACCCCGACCCTAGGAGGCTGCAGAAATGTACACCTCTCATTGGGTACGCCTGGTTCGATCTCCATCGGTCGAAAATATTGTCGGCTCAAAAAAAGAAAAAAAAAGTGAAAAAGACTGGTTTGCGTGACCACGGGGCAGTGCGTTTGTGAGCTGTCCATCACTCAGGACTGCTGCATGGTGCAAACATACTGAGTTTTCAAAATGGAGATCCTCCAATGATAACTACATAATAATTAACAAAAGGGTTCCACTCCAGAGGAGTGAGAGGCACAGGAGAAAAAGCTGCACGAAGCAGCTTGGTGAGGCGCCCGAACCCGTGACTTGGTGATACCTGTTTTCACCTGAGGACCGAGTAGACCAAATAAAAATACAAAGTTGAATAAATACCAACGACTCGTCTTCGGCTTCTTTCCATGGCAGATCTTATCATGCACCCCTTTAAGCCGGGGTCACATCGCTTATACGTCATACAGAAAACAGTCTGCAAACATCAGTTACCGCGATATCCGTGGTTCAAATGCTGAGTGCAAAGTCTCAGCTTGAACTCGTTGCCATGCGGCATTCGAAGCACGTATCTCCTGGTGACCCGCGTTCAAATCTGTTCGCAGACTGTTTTTTTGTATCCCGGCTTTAGAGTTCACATAGGCGTTTTTCGCGTTTGTGCACTCAGAGGTGTCTCCATAGGCCATATAAGCCGCACATTCTGTTCGTTTTACACATCGAGATATCCCGTACATGGGGACCGTTCTTGGTAACCGGCGCCCTTCAGCTCCATGTATTCGAAGCCTCCGTCGGGCGACATTTTTCAATTTAAAATTTACGAAAATCACTTGTAGACGTTTGCAAGCAGCCGCGCTTCGCGAGCTAGTCTCCACCGTGAATGGAAAACGTTTTGTTTTTTGGACGCCAGTCTGGAAACCTTGGGTACGCCTCAGCAATGCTTGACTATCAGACGATCAGCACACTCCATCAGGAAGATGGCGACGCCCAGAGGCCGTACTTGCAGACGTCTATAATAGCTTTTGAATAAGAAAACATGTTAGTGCTGATCTACGTTGGCATGTGGTTTGGATCGCTACATTTGGGCGGAATGAGCGTTCGTTAATGCGGAAGACCCTGTACATAGCGCTTTGTTGTTTTCCTCGTTACGTAATCTAGTCATCTATCCTTTATGCTCTTAGGAAGGCGTGATTGCAATGGCATAGCTTCGTAGCACATCACACGCAGCCCTGCTCGTGACGCGTTAAAATATAACCAAAAATAACGCGTTGCCTTTATTAACATAACGAAAACGTCCATCACTGCCCTTTTTTTTTTTTTTTCTGACAGAAACTAGCAAAGTACTCCCTTCCGTCTACTGAGCTGGTATGGACTAATTCCAATCGAATTTCCCAGGTCGAAACGTGACGTCACCTTGGTGTAACGTCATGCTTGTGACGACATGTTTCTGCGCATTTTCAGTCTACATGGTCTGTGGGCAGCCGCACTTGTTTGTTAACAATGATTTGAAGTGTGTATACACTGTATAGACACTTTAACTGTTTACAAAAATGAACCGCTGCTTGCATCCTAAGCGACTTCCGATCGCTCCGTCTTTGCAAGCCTGTCGATAAGCCGTTTTATCCTGGGCAGCGCCATTTTGAGAGCGAGAGAGAAAAGGAGAAAGGGCTGCCGGCGCTTTCCCCCTCGCTGGGTCGTTAGAAAGTGTGAAAGTCCCGGATGAGGGGCTTCGTCGATGCTGGGTGTATGCAACGTGCCCGAACTTCGTACGCTTTCATCTCTGTTTTAAACTCGCAAACTTAATTAGAGCCACGGGCTTCGATGGCGTCCCCCAGTCATCGGGACAACATTGGTCGGCCATAGGGATCACGAATAACGACAGAAAGCGTCGAATACTGTCCGAGGACCTGTGTAGCTTGCATAAAATCCGGCAAGGTGAGTGCGGCTACAGTGTTTTTAAGCTCCATCGCTTTCCGGATGACTGGAACTGATGAACCATTTATCAATTTTTGCTTGCAATGGGGCTATTTCAACGTAGCCGTTTTTAGTAATCAACAAACGATACATCGACACGGGAACCTCAATTCACTTTTGTAAACACCCGGAGCTGCCACCGATCGCTTTGCTGCGCTGCTTTTATAATTGCGCGTCCGTCTTCTTATATTTTCTTGTAAATAAACGACGAACATGTTCTGAATGTACTTATATCGAACCCCAGAAAGCCTCAAAGCAGCCACGAAATATTTTACTGTTCGATGCAGTATTTAGAGTACTCACCTCCAATTCCTATCGCTGGCGCGTTCGCTGGCACTGTCGCCCACGTTGCGGGTGTACCCCATGTTCATCGGTGGTACAGCGTTCGGTGCGCGCTGCAGTTCACAAAATGTTCCGAGCACAGTCGAGAGGATGGCATTAAGAAAACGTCGGTTTACGGACGCAATCCACTGCCGCCGGAGACAGGGTCATGTGGAAAGCGATGGAGCTTAAAGACATTGCAGCCGCTCTCGCCTTGCCGGATTCCTTGCAAGCTACATGGGTCCTCGGACAGTATTCGACGCTTTTTGTCGTTGTTCGTGCACCCTGTCACCGAGCAAAATTGTGTCCCGATGACCGGGGGACCGTCGCCATCGAAGCCCGTGGCTCTAATTAAGTTTGCGAGTTTAAAACAGAGAAGAAAGCGCGAACGAAGTTCGGACACTTCGTCTCATCCGGGACTTTCTCTCTTTCTAACGACCCAGCGAGGGGGAAAGCGCCGGTAGCCCTTTCCCCTTTTCTCTCTCGCTCTCTTTCAGTAAAACGGTAAATAAAACACTTCTTGAAAAAAAAAAAAGAGAGGTGAATTCTAGCGTGTTTTTACCCCGTGAATCTGAATATCACTCTCGTTTCCCCTGAAGATGTAACTAAACGCGAGAAAACGTGAAAAACCTCCGACCAATCGTGACGTCACACTAGGATCTTTGGGCCGCCAAGCGTGTGTCGCTCGTGTGGGCAGCGCGTGCAATTGCAAGCTTGCCAGGTATATTTCCCCGCGCTGACACCAGTGGTGACGCCTCTTTCTGACCTTTTTGAAAATAGCAAGAGTGCACGTCCATAGCTTTGACAGGCGCTGAAGATGCGCGAGAGTAGAGATTCCGGAAACTTTTAGTATATGACGTCACGCCCCGGAAAGGGGAGGGGCTTCGGCGGTACTTTAAAAACGAATTTCTGCAGCTTCCGTGCACCAAATTGAAAAATAATCTCGATATTCGTGATCCTGGAGGCCGAATAAAAACCATCGAAATGTTTTTATCCTCAAATACAAAACAGCTTCAGTTTCCCTTTATGTGACCAGTGCTAGAAAGCATGAATGCTACACGGACAGCAAAGTTGGAGGGCCTTCCGACGCACGATTTAACGTCTGGGAGAGGACAAGCTGGTTTGCAATACTATTCGAAAATTTAAACAAATCTCGCGCACTATGTTTTTCTTTTTTTATTATTATTGGTGAGGTGGGGGGGGGGGGGGGGGGGGGTGTTGAATGTCTCATCGACGTTTTAAGCAGTAAGGTGGGCTTTCTTCATTCTTTTTTATGAACCGGAAGTTCGCTGGGACCGCTGGGACGTCGAAGACTGGAACACCTCCTGGTGGCGCTTGCAAAGAAAAGGAAAGGAAAGGGTCTAGTATAAACAAACACGCGTGTCTGTAGCGGTGGCTATAACACGTGCCGTAGATGCGTATAAGGCTGTTCTTTTCATTATTATTATTATTTGAAGCGAGCGCACTTCTAAAAGGGAACCGACGCGAGAAACTTTCCATTCGGGAAGTGCCCGCAATATCCTCGCGTGATTTAGAGATGTCAAGCTCCTTGTCGTTTATTTACGGGTTCGGAAGGCTTGTGTCGGACCTTCCCGTTGAAAGTGCGTCACACGTGACGTCGGTGCGCCCTTCTTTCTGGTGGCCAAAAGCACCTCATTAAGTGAAGACAGTGCAAGCTGCGAAGTTATCTATCGGCACTGTTAATTAACAAGGACGGCATATCGCAGATTTTTCTACGTCTTAACTGTGGTACCTGTTCCGTGCAAAAAGATCCCTCGTTCATTTCGTTTTTGTTGTTTCTAACTTGTTTACGTTTACAGTTTCACTCGATGATACATGATAGCAAGTAAAAAAGGAGACGTAAATAATAAGAATAACGCTCCACTGAAGGATGGCGTCAGTCTCTGCATGGTATCAACGGTTCGGTACAAAATAATAATAATAATGAACACACTAATGTGAACGATTACTACCAAACACGAGACTAGAATATGCCTATTTCATCGAATGCTTTGTGAGCGCTGTGGAGTGGATGATCGGTTGACGATGTTGACTTCAATTTCGACGGGCTACTCATTGGTTATGCGAGGCAGAGAAAGATATGTTTGAAAGAGCCGTGTTTAATTTGGAGCGCATGTTTTCGCTGTGTCGTGTCTGTCGCCCTTGTGTTTTTAGTGGTGTTTTATTACGTGTAAGCACCGAACTGAAGTCTAGCGTTACCATTTATAAAGTTATACCAAAAATATTTGGAAGACTTTTTTATTAACTCGTTTTGTGAGTTTCGCGTTCCGCTATTTTTCGGTGAAGCCACACCGTACACCTATAACCGCAATTATACATGGGTAAATTACTTCCAAAATATAATTTCATTACAATTACGTTGCTCCAAAAGTAGTTTAACTACTTACAATTATACTACTACGTGTACGTAATTCGTTACAATTAGAACTTACTTGTAAAAAGTAATCCAATAACTTTAAAATTACTTATTTCTGAGAGCGACCCCACTTGGGCCATATAGCTTGAAACGAATTGTTTAGAATGCGACGCATTTGTTCATTCCTTGCCCCAACGTTTGAGGAGGCTTAAACATCGCTGCATAAATGTCACGTATTGTACTCTCCTTTAGTAAATTTTGTTCAATTAATGATAGAACTTGACAGTTTGGGGTAATGAAGTCCTAGATTCTTATATTTTCAATAAGTAATAATAAATTAGTTTACACACTCGAAAACGCCAGATCGCTAAAGTAAAATTGGGCTGACACACTTTTGTTAGTTAAATAAAAATGCGACAATTAGTCATATCTGAATATTTTTAAGTGTTAATATAAAACTACAATTCACATGTACGACCACATTCGCATACAAACGTTTAACGTTATTGTACATTATTTACATTGAGTTGAAACTATAATGGCTCAGAAATATATAAGAACTGAATGGGGGCTCTCAAATCAATGCTGACAACATTCACAGTTAGGGGTCAGTCTCCAAAATGCTTATGCAAATAATATCCGAATTAAAACTAAGAAAAAATAAACTCGAAAATACAAAAATACACAAAAAAACAAAATTCGATAGTACTGG